CTCCGCAGTCTGTGTACCACCTTCCCGCTAGATGGTTATCTCGCCATCTTTGTGTGTAACTTTGACCTTGCGTGTGTCGTGGCATGGGGTGTTGATATGGTTCTGCTCTGAACCTCCCCCTCTTGCGATTCTCGTACATTTTTGGCCCAGTGCTTCTCCCATTCGGGTGCCAAATTTTTCCTGGATTGTTACTTTGCCATCTTTGTGGGTAATTTTGACCTTGCGTATGTCGGGGCATGGGGTGCTGATATGATTCTGCCCTTGGCCTCCACCTTCTGCGATTCTCCTGAATGTTCGGCTTCGTGCCGCTCTCATTCTCGTGCCAACCTCTCTCTGGGTTATTTTGCCATATGTGCGTGCGTGTTTGCTCCTCCCTGCATTGTGGGACTGCTTGGTGATTTTTATTTCTCTCTGAGAGGCTGGGTTCCTTATCCCTCTCACTGTGTTCTGGATCCGAATTATGATTCTTAGCTCTGTATAACCATGCCATGTACACCTTGCTCTCTATGCGGCGTAAGGATCCGGTTTCCGGATTCAAAACCATTCTCACCCTTTCTGTAATCTCTGGGCTCAAGGATTCAAAATACATAATTTTGAACATGTGATCCCCTTCGTGGTATCGATTCACATCGCCTGCGTAATACGCTCTTTTAAATTGTAAAAGGTAGTCACGTGGGTCTTGGTCCATGCCCTGGGTCATCGATTTTACCGCATAAAACCCCTCAGTGAGTGTCGAATATTCTCCAAACTTTCGATTCACTGCCAGGCTCAGTTGTTTAAAATCATTTCTAACCTTGTATGGTAGCGACTTTACCCATTGTATAGATTCTCCATGTAAGCTCCTTTTCAATAGACTCGCTTTCTCATCCCGTCTCATTAGCCCTCTAATCATTGCCTCCTCTTCTACTGTTGCGATATGTGTGTGTATATCCATGGACTTATTGTGTGGGTCAAAATCGGGAATTTTGACGAGAGCTGTGTCCATCAATTTAAGGGTTTTACTGTTGAACAGGTATTCCGAAAGTTGATCGTCGCCAGCGTCATCAAACAAGTTATCATCAGACAAGCTGTCACTTTGATCTGTGCTGTGTCGGGCGTGTTTTAGCGGCGTGCATTTTTTGTGTGAGCTCTCTGGGCTGTGTCGCTCGTGTTGCCATTTCCCTGCAGTTTTTGCCTCTACCCTTAGTGAAGTATGTCCTGGCGACTTTACTTTAACATTTTGCCTTCCTCTAGCTGCGAAGTTGTCAGTCCCACATGTTTTTTATTTGCATCTGTATCTCTACATCCCTTCTCTCGAATTGTGAGGGTTTTTCCTTGTCAAGGATATTTTGGTCGATACCCATGATTTTTGTGCGATCTATCCCTGGACTATGTCCACGTACCCAAGAGTGTGATTTACTGTTACTTTCATATTTATTCTGTGGATCAACGTCTGTGAGTTTCGCTGGTGTCGCGAGCACTGATTTCTCCTCCCTGACGAGGGTGTGAGGACATTTTTCCTCGTTTATTAGAGACGATTTCTCTCCCGTTTCCTTTCCGAATTTTTCCTCATTCCACAATCCCTGTCTGTATGCCTGTGTGGGAAGGCATGAGTCCTGTCCTGCCTTCTCTGCAGTTTTTGCATCGTGTTCGCCTTCGTTACATTTTATCCAGTCAATTAGTTTCCCCCGAGGTGTGTTCATGTTATCGATACAGCTCCCTTCCCATATGTCTCTCTGACCTGCTTTGTAACAGATCAGTCGGTACGTTTTAATACGAGTTCCCAGTATCCCGTAATCCATTCAAAAATTATTCTTAATCCTAGCATCTCAAGTGTGGCAGGAGCTACTTTGACATTCCCTTTCAGTGTGCATATAAAACTATTATCTCACAGAGTGTAGTCAGTTTGACTCGAGCTATTCTGTTATTTCCGATTCAGAGTGCGTATCTCTAACACAATTTATCACAGGATGCAATCGGTTCGATATGATATTATCTTAATTCCACTGTCTTTGTTCCAACCTGCTATTCTGGAGTTTAACCTCAGAGGGCGTTTTTTTCTCGTTTACAATCACCATGCAATGTTTGATCACGATATTCTGGTTAACACGTAGTGATTCATTCCTTCATCCATGCAAAACACTGTCTGCGAGAGATCCCGGACGACGCCACCCCATTATGTTGTATATGTTGAATTATGAAATTTTGATAAAAAATAATACAAATTAATAATTTTCAGAAAAATATGCAAATCGCATAAATTATGATAGTGTGTGTAATTATATGCATAAATTATGATAAGCACGGAGATAATCATATTAATTTATGCGGATGCATGCGATTATGTTAATGTGAGCAGTTATGATAATTAAGCTTAGTTTCGTTTATCCAGTGTTGTATCAATCAGGATAACACGATTATCATTGATTAAACATTTACTGATTATCTTAGTGTGTGTTATGTTATATTAGGTCTCCAGTTTCATATCTCATCACAGGATACAGTTCTTAGGAATAAGACAGTTTTGCATGGACTTGGAAAGAAGCACTCGAACAGTTGGTGTTAAGCAATTTTAATTCTAAACAAACACATGACACTCTAGTATGGAAAGGCGAAAGCATACGTCAATAAATCCATGGGCAAGATTATGCAATTAACGAAAATAAATGACTAAAACCTTTCTTATTCGTGTAACTCGACGGCAGCAACTGCTTTGCACGATCAGTTGATATTGAACGCACCACCTTGAAATGGCAACCCTTTTTGAAACGCAAAGATAACTTTTTGAAAGTCTTATTCGTGTGCGTGTTGTGTGTGCGTTGTCCCTTGTAAAATTAATTAAATTTTCCTTAGAGCCAGGAGTTGTGTCGTTAGCTTGTGGGGTGTGGAAGGGAATATACGAACAGCGGCCAGGTTCTCTCTGGGTTGGGCGTGGCCACAGCGAGCCGTGCTGCTCCCTCGCTCGGGCGTGTCTCTGCTCGTGTGCTCTCACTCTCCACTGCTGGACGACGAGTTGGCACGACGCTCGCCGACGTGGTGCGCGATGATTCCGTCGTCGCTGCGGACGTCTTGTCTGTTCTCACTGGTCGTTGGTCGGTGTGTGCATCAAACACACAGCGCATGCGTTGGCGCTGTCCTCTTCCTCACAGCCGTTTGATCAGGCTTTCTCCACTGCTTCGCGCTCTCTGCTTTGCTCGCTTGGTCGACGCTTGGCGATTTCCGCCCTTTTACAGGTTGATTGCTTGTCGTCACTCTCTCTTCTCCGTGCTTTCCTTTGTTCGTGCAGCTGCCAGCTTCACTCGCACTTAACTTCGTTCTGCGAGAAGCGACACCTGCTATTGGCATCGGTGTTTGCTCCCTCACGACGCTCCGCCAGCCGGAGCACGGCTGAAACCCAGCCTCGACCCAGGTTGAACTCAGACTTCTGCGACTCGAACGACCCCTCCTCGTTCCATCACTTCTCGAGGCCCGATGCGCCCCAGCTCCCTTGCGAGTCCCGTCGCAACGCTGCGTCGCAAGCCGAGTCGCGAGACTGAGCGCGACTTGAACAGACTGCACTCAGGCGGTCACTCTAACGACCCCTCGTCGTCCCATCTCTCCTCGAGGCACGATCTGCCCCAGCTCTCTTGCGAGCCCCGTCGCAACGCCGCGTCGCAAGCCGAGTTGCAAGACTGAGCACGACTCGAACCAGACTGCACTCAGACTGTCACTTTAACGACCCCTCGTCGTCCTATCTCTCCTCGAGGCACGATCCGCCCTAGCTCCCTTGCGAGCCCTGTCGCAACGCTGCGTCGCAAGCCGAGTTGCGAGACTGAGCGCGACTCGAACAGACTGCTCATTCGTGATGTGCGCTTGTGCTTAAACTCAAAACGTGACTCCCCTCTCTGCGCATCTCTTGCGAGAGGAACAACAGACCAAAAAAACAGATGTCCTCGGAATGTCAGCACAGACCCCCCCCCCCCTCGCGACCCTTTGACCCCTCCTTCCTCTGAGTGGGTCATTCCGAGGCCAGACCCCCAATACGTATTCAGGCTGTATGTGTTTGTACCAAATCGTTGGAAGACAAAGGTGGCCGAGGAGATTTTTGGTTCTATGGAATGCATATTCTTTAAGTTGTGCGTGGTTGACCTATTTTGACTTCCTATTCTTCTGGATGACCGTTGTTCTAACTCTTAATAATTATTATTCGGTTTGTGATTTACCATGGTTATTAACACGTATTTCGTAGAGTTTATTGATGTTTGTTGTCTATCTGTATACAGGGATCGCACTGTTTTACTCGAGTTATTTTTTTTTATGTCTTGAGGTTAAGTGTAAGTAAGTTGCCACTTACGCTTCCTTAACTGTTGGAATTCGTAATAATTTTTTTTTTGGTCAGGTAGATAGAAACATACAACACAAAATAATATATATACGGTGAATACGAGTAATATAAGGGAATATCTAATAACAAGCCCCTATTGTTTGCTGGTTAATTCTTTTTGTTAAGTTTCTACTTTTCGGTAAGGAAAACGTTAAAGCAAACGCGAGTTGCAACCGTTATCCTTTACTCTGCACCTTATCCATGCATCTCCAGATGTCTTGGGAGGTTAGGCCATCGACCTTTGTCCATCTGGATGTCTCTGACCTCTCTGTGCTCTGAAATCTTGCCACTTAATGGCCCTCCCTGTTCTACAGATTCCTGGTGTGCTTGTGAGGAGTAGTGGGTTGTTTTCATTATTTAATTTAAAAAATATATATAGATATAAAAAATTAAATTCTTAATTATTCTTAATATTAATAACGGAAAACAGGGCAAAGATACAACAGTACACAAACAAAATATCCCACACGTCCACTTCTCATATTCCATTTCTATAGCTTCAAATTTATACAGATATCAGCCTAGCACTGTTTCCGCCGAGGCTATGTAGCATTTCTTTCAATGATACAAATTAAGAAAATGTAGTTTTTTGGGTTCCAGTGGTGAAATACGTATCTAATATTGTTCATGTTATTCAAATCTCCCTCCCACCCACCAGAAACTGGAGAGAAATGCGTAGATGTAGATGAGTGTCAAACATCTGGCAGTGCGGCCTGTGGGAATGGAGCCTACTGTGTCAACACGGTGGGTTCATACAATTGCCCGTGTCTTGCGGGATACGCAGGCAATGGCACTCACTGCCTGGATGTGGATGAGTGTTTGTTCCCCAGCAACAACTGCAGTGCCAATTCAACCTGCGAGAACACGCCAGGCTCCTACCAATGCAAGTGTGATGCTGGTTTCCAAAGTAAGTTGAAGCGTCCGGATTTCCTCTATGAGATGTTTCACGATTGTTTTGGTATTCATGGCTAAGAGCTGTAAAGGGATACATGTTATCTCCTCCAAACTTATATTGGGGGGATAGCATTTTTTCTCCGATATTTTAGTACTCAATGGTCTACAGGCTTTTTTTAGGAGGGATCTGCTTTGGAATATCGTGGCGAAGTAACTTATTATAGTATATACTTTTAAATGGAAGTGGCCAAATAAAACCCACACATATGGGGCAATAGAAAGCAGCATTTTGGAATGAATATGTTTCAGTTTATGAAATGTTTTCACCTAATAATGTGCAGAATAAAGGTCCCGCTGCTCAGAATATAGAGCTCGTATTGAAATATTTAAAATATATAAACATTAAAGTAGTATTTTTTTTAATAAGAGACCAATAAAACAACATTTTAATCGATATAGGAAGTTAAACGAACCAAAAAAACATGCAAAAGAAGTGCAAACTTTTTTTTAATCATCTACACTGCATATATGTAACACGTTACGTTAAATTATTTCCCTTAGGTAATGCTACTGTGTGCGAGGACATCGACGAGTGTGGGAGAGTCCCAGCTGTGTGTGGCTTGGGAACGGTTTGTGAGAACACAGTGGGGTCATACCGCTGTCCCTGCGCTCCAGGATATCAACGCAACACAAGTAAACGCTCCATTGCCATCCTACGCTGTACAGGGTATCCATAACAGTGGGATTTGTTTTAAGCCAATCTGTGTTCTTTTTTCTGGCCACACAATATTGAAAACAAGATTTTTGTATACATTTACAAATGTACCATGTAGATAATTACTGCGTGGGTTTTCGTAGTTGCGCTGTGTAACTTCAGAGCTTTACTGCAAAAGAATCGTGAAAAAAACTACGTAGGACGAGTCTATTCCTGACATAGGTTTTTTTGTTTTATAAACCACAGAGAGCTTCAGTGATGTTTGGCAGGCCCATGACAGAAGCATTTGAAGTAACCACAGTTGACATGTCGGTGAACACCTGGGACTCACCTAAATCTAGATTTGTATCAGCAATCTCATTGCGGGTGTGGAGGTTGAGAGGGATGAGACCTTTATGATGAGTCTACACATGGCCATGTGATATTAGCCTCATTGGATTTCCTGGAAATAGTGATATAACAATGTATTTAAATTCAGCATTTTTAAATAATTATTATGCCTTTTCAATATTTTATATATGTTTGCTGAACATTTGTTGTGATTAAAGTATATTTTTCTACGATTAAGTTATGACGGTGCTTAATGGTCCTATCTTCTTCTCCCCCTCTGCAGGTGATGGAAATGCAACATGCTCACGTGAGTCTATCTCCCTACCCTTGTGTAGGCTGCATTACAGAGCAAATAATAGAGAAAATGTACTATTAAAATTGAGGGATATTTTGGAAATTTGATCGGACTTTCAGTCAAATGTACAATTAGAAATCCTGATGCCACTGAATAGAATATCTTCCCACATCACTATTTTCTCATATATGGTACTGTAAATATTTAAATGATGGGAACTGTGTTATTGGTGCAAGACTGTACATTAAGGGCCAGCAACCTGCGGCTCAGGAGCCGCATGCGGCTCTTTAAGGGACTGCTTCGTGACGTTATTTATTAAGGATCACCTTCTCGTATTCATGTGCATTGTGTGGCTCTTGTAATATTGAGTTTTTTTTACCGATTTAGAAAAAATGGCTCTTCTTGTTATTTTGGTTGCTGTCCCCCTGCTGGACATTAAGTAACTTCTGAGGGAAATTATCTTTGGTGTTAAGTGTGAAAAGTGTTTCAAAGTCCAGTGTCTTTCTTGGTAAAAATAACGCTTGGTAATATAGCACCTTAAAATATGTCGGTTTAAGGCCTGTGATTTCATTTTTACAAGGTCATTAGCGTGCTCAGGTCATCTGTCAATAATAAAATGTCAAATTTCTGTCCCTTAATGGTGATATTAGAATCATGGTGCATTTGTCAGTTTAACATATACAACGCCTACGTTTAACACGTAGGCATTGCATATGTTAAAAAACAGAAACTTTATGATTTACAGATAGATAGACAGCATTTGTGTATTTGTACAGTACATTATATACAGGACATACAGTTTTTCCATCAGCAGATATGAACGTACATTGTGTAACTGATGATAGAAATACATTGGCCTGTGACCAAATACGCCTAAATATCCCCAATTCCAGGAGGCCTTATAAGTTAAACAAATATAACCCTTGTGGGTGACTACGAAGGCTTGGTATGTGTTTTAGGCATAAGGCTGCAAGGGTGCCAAAGGATGACAATACTGAGTATCACCCAGTGTGAAATGTGTTGTTTATCTCGGGCGCATTCTAGTTTCCTGATAATATCGATCAGTAAGGATCCTTTTGAAAAATCGTCTTAATACTCAGGCTTTTCTGAGTAAATAATGCGTATTGTTCTTGTTTTACTGCAAGGTACATTGAAAGGTTGCTTAAGTCACAAGAATGATTGATTAATTGTAAACTATTGAATTATTCTCACAGTGGCAACGACATATTCAACCACGCCATGGACTGCTAATTCAACACAGTCACCACAGACAGCAAGTCCACCAAGATCAACCACCTCAAACACAACGAGTAATTCTACAGTATTCTTCACATCAGAAGGTGTATCGGCCGCTACTGCACCAATAAATGCATCATTCACTGCAATTACTCAACCTCCACCATTCTCAACATCAGCCACCCCGGTAACAAATAAAACTGATTCTATTAATGCAAACGCTACCGCTGTGGAGACATCACCAATAACAGCGCCCTCAGACACAACAGCAGCGAATACATCAGCTGTGACTCAACCTCCATCATTCTCAACATCAGCCGCCCCGGTAACAAATACAACTGATTCTATTAATGCAACCACTACCGCTGTAGAGACATTACCAATAACAGCGCCCTCAGACACAACAGCAGCAGATACATCAGTTGTGACTAAACCTCCATCATTCTCAACATCAGCCGCCCCGGTAACAAATACAACTGATTCTATTAATGCGACCGCTACCGCTGTGGAGATATCACCAATAACAGCGCCCTCGGACACAACAGCAGCGAATACATCAGCTGTGACTCAACCTCCATCATTCTCAACATCAGCCGCCCCAGTAACAAATACAACTGATTATACTAATGCAACCGCTACCGCTGTGGAGACATCACCAATAACAGCGCCCTCAGACACAACAGCAGCGAATACATCAGCTGTGACTCAAGCTCCATCATTCTCAACATCAGCCGCCCCAGTAACAAATACAACTGATTATACTAATGCAACCGCTACCGCTGTGGAGACATCACCAATAACAGCGCCCTCAGACACAACAGCAGCGAATACATCAGCTGTGACTCAACCTCCATCATTCTCAACATCAGCCGCCCCGGTAACAAATACAGCTGATTCTATTAATGCGACCGCTACCGCTGTGGAGATATCACCAATAACAGCGCCCTCGGACACAACAGCAGCGAATACATCAGCTGTGACTCAACCTCCATCATTCTCAACATCAGCCGCCCCAGTAACAAATACAACTGATTATACTAATGCAACCGCTACCGCTGTGGAGACATCACCAATAACAGCGCCCTCAGACACAACAGCAGCGGATACATCAGCTGTTACTCAACCTCCATCAATCCCAACATCAGCCGCCCTGGTAACAAATACAACTGATTCTATTAATGCGACCGCTACCGCTGTGGAGATATCACCAATAACAGCGCCCTCAGACACAACAGCAGCGAATACATCAGCTGTGACTCAACCTCCATCAATCTCAACATCAGCCACCCCGGTAACACATATAACAGATTCTATGAATGCAACCACTACCATTGTAAACACATCACCAATAACAGTGCCCTCAAACACAGCAGCGAATACATCAGCTGTGAAGTCGACAACAGCATCAACAACGAGAGTTGGGACTGAAAGCACATTAGTGATGGTGAATATGAATGCAACAAGTCCCGTAGTTCTAACAGCGGCATCAAACGCAACTTCAAAGACCACCGTGACATCAGTGATCACCGCAGCAATGTCTACAATCGGACCTAATGGCACAAACGTGACTCTACCAATATTATTAGGGACATCAAGCACAACAACCACAGCCACAATGGCACCAGCGGCTCCCAATTCCTCAACGGTAGCGTTGACAAGTGCGAGTCTGCTGTTGTCGCCTGCTACATCGAACACGACAGCAGCAAACACAGCTGTGGGTTCGGCAACAACATCAACAACTACATTGCCAACCAATAGCACAACAGTAACTGCACTTACAAACCAGTCAACAAGCACAGCTGTGACTCAACTGATAGTGAACTCACCCACCTCATACACAACAATAATATCAACAGTGTCATCGTCTACGGCCTCAACCACAAATGCAACAGTCAATCCGGCTTCAACAATTAGTAGCATTTCAACGGTGACATCTCCAACGACTTCATCGACTTCCACCACTGTGTCTAACTCAAGTAAGCAGTGTAAAGTGGGCTCATGTATCAAAACTCTGTATTCTGCTGTCCATATATTAAATAAGATTAAGCTGGGTAGAGATTGTGAGTTCAGCTCATCATTTTTCAAAGCTAGATAAAATAGGCACCACTGTGAAAATTAAATTGTATTTGTCCTCTGTAGAGACTGAGGTATCTGTCCTTTGAGATGTTGTTTTCCATACTGGTTCAATGTTGTGAGTGGGGATGAGCACCAACTTTAATACAAAATTGTACTAAATTTTTGTTTTATTTTAGCAGGTAAGGCCCACTGAGCTATACAGCTCTTTTTCAGAAACGATCTGGCCACAAATGATAGTTCAACGAAGAGGCCTATCGTGTGGAAATGTATAGCAGCCAAATACAATTCATAGCAGCCAAATACTAAATTGGGCAGGGAGACACTGGCTTAAAATGTTTGCTAGAAAATTAGAATGAAAAATTTATTTTCTGAACAGTTACGTTCCACTAATTGTAAATGATTCATGATCTAATTCACCAAGTAGTGTTAACTATTTTTTAAAGTAAATTATGTGGAATACAACAAAGTGGAAAGAGGTCATGTATGCAGTAATACAGTCAATGTGTAAGAATAGGTTTTCCCCTTTTTTCTGGCAACAAAACAGGTGTTAAGATTTCGATTTAAAGCTTTCGTGACTGCAGGGATTCATCTTCTTGGTTCTTTCGGTAAAGTCACGTAGAAGGGAAGTAAAAAAAAACATAATAAAACAATTCTCACGACGTTTCAGCCACAACGCAAGCAGCCGTCCTCAGGTGAAAACCAGGTCTGTCGAGGCGACAGCGTCTGAATGAAACAGCACACGTGCTTGGAGCATATATATAAGCTGGGTTGGAAGGGGGGAAAAGGGGCGCCTTGACAAAATAATATGCATATCAAGAGGAATTTAGCATATTTATGGGAAATGCAGATATGCGATTAGTACTACTTGTGAAATGCGTAGGAGGTTTGGCGAGGGGTTGAAAGTCATTATGCCCAAGCATTATGCAGGATTAGCAGTAACAAAGGGAGGGAGTAAGGTTAGAATTAATAAAGGGAAGGAATGTTAATAATATGGCGCCACAGCAACTAATATGCTTATAGACTATACATTGTAATATTACACTATGTATTATTCTACCCACTCTAATATATATCACACTGCTGTATATTCACTATACAATTACGATACTATATATTACTTTGTACATTGTATTAAGCATTACAATTTAATACTATTCATTATTATACAATCCGCTATACACTGTACCATTGACCATCGTGTGAAAGATATTAAGAGGAAGCAAGGAAATATGTCAATGGGAGAGTAGTGGGGGAGACTTGCAGCAGAGCAAAGAATCCATTCCCTGTGGAGAATACAAGATATATAGTCAATGCCAGTGAGTGGAACGCGGTCTGAAAGTCACCGTAAACATGAACACAATCAGTTAAGATCCGAAATGGTTTATTACGTCCTTCCAATGATTGCTGAGCCAGAATCCATCTTCTCGTTTGAAATGGTCTCTGTGTTTGTATATGTCGATCGCCTCATGAACAAATCTCTCATGGTAGCCAGATGGCTTGCAGAGAACCTCTGTCTTGGAGAAGTCAATATCATGTGAGCCCACTGAATTGTAACAGTGATCTGCCACGGCTGAGGTGTTTGTCCTACCGTATTTCAAGTCTGCTTTATGTTCACGGATGCGGTCCGAGACATGTCGTTTGGTTTCTCCAATGTAACTGCTACCACAGAGGCAACTTAGTTTGTAGACGCCAGGGTACTGTATGTCTGGAACCACATCTTTTACAGACGGGACCGGATCACGGATTTTATGTACTGTGTTGAATCGGACCTGGATCTTGTTTTATCAGGATTTTGGAGATCTTTTTTGTGACCCCAGCAATGTAGGGTAAGGTGATGGTTTTGAAAGGCTCCTCAACAGGATCCTTCTAGATGGTTGGAGTGATGGCTTTGCGGATTGTGTAGTCGGAGTAACCATTAGCCTTAAGAGCTTGGGGTACGTGTTTTGAGTTCACTGGCAATGTGTTCCTGGTCGGAGATGCATTGGGCTCTATGGTATAGAGTCTTGATGAGGGAATTCTTCTGGGATGGATGGTGGTGGGAATCCGGTTTTAGGTAAGCATCCGTATGGGTGGCTTTCCTGTAGAAAGAATGGCTCATTGAACCATCAGGTCTCCTTTTAATTAGGACATCCAAAAAGGGTAGCTTGCCATCTTTTTCGACTTCCATGGTGAATCTGATGGCTGGGTGTATGGAATTGATGTGGTCGAGGAATTGGTCTAGAGCAGGCCGGCCATGTGGCCAGATGACAAAAGTGTCATCTACGTACCTCTTCCATAAGGTCGGATGCTTACCTAAAACCGGATTCCCACCACCATCCATCCCAGAAGAATTTCCTCATCAAGACTCTATACCATAGAGCCCAATGCATCTCCGACCAGGAACACATTGCCAGTCAACTCAAACACGTACGCCAAGCTCTTAAGGCTAATGGTTACTCCGACTACACAATCTGCAAAGCCATCACTCCAACCATCAAGAAGGATCCTGTTGAGGAGCCTTTCAAAACCATCACCTTACCCTACATTGCTGGGGTCACAAAAAAGATCTCCAAAATCCTGATAAAACAAGATCCAGGTCCGATTCAACACAGTACATAAAATCCGTGATCTGGTCCCGTCTGTAAAATATGTGGTTCCAGACATACAGTACCCTGGCGTCTACAAACTAAGTTGCCTCTGTGGTAGCAGTTACATTGGAGAAACCAAACGACATGTCTCGGACCGCATCCGTGAACATAAAGCAGACTTGAAATACGGTAGGACAAACACCTCAGCCGTGGCAGATCACTGTTACAATTCAGTGGGCTCACATGATATTGACTTCTCCAAGACAGATGTTCTCTGCAAGCCATCTGGCTACCATGAGAGATTTGTTCATGAGGCGATCCACATATACAAACACAGAGACAATTTCAACCGAGAAGATGGATTCTGGCTCAGCAATCATTGGAAGGACGTAATAAACCATTTCGGATCTTAACTGATTGTGTTCACGTTTACGGTGACTTTCAGACTGCGTTACACTCACTGGCATTGACTATATATCTTGTATTCTCCGCAGGGAATGGATTCTTTGCTCCGCTGCAAGTCTCCCTCACTACTCTCCCATTCACATATTTCGTTGCTTCCTCTTAGTATCTTTCAGACGACGGTCAATGGTACAGTGTATAGTGGATTGTATAATAATAAATAGTATAAAATTGTAATGCTTAATACAATGTACAAAGTAATATATAGTATCGTAATTGTATAGTGAATATACAGCAGTGTGATATACATTAGGGTGGGTAGAATAATACATAGTGTTATATTAAAATGTGGTGTATAGCAATACAGTATATAATTTAATGTTGGGTGTGTCTATGGCAGTATATAGTACGGTGTAGACTCGTGTGATGTAAGAGAATAAAGTTTAGCTGGAAGCATATTATATTTTTTGCGACTTAGAATTGTAATGTATTACTTACTGTTAGTAGCTCAGCTTATTGGAGAGTATATTTAGTATGCTGATGATACTATGTAGTTTATACTTTAGTTGTTTACGTGGTGGTTTAGTTACTGCAGCTGCATACTATTTACATTCCTTCCCTTTATTAATGTTACCCCTATCCCCTCCCTTTGATGCTGCTAATCCTGCATAATGCACGGGCATAATGACTTTAAAACCCTCGCCAAACCTCCTACGCATTTCACAAGTAGTACTAATCGCATATCTGCATTTCCCATAAATATACTAAATTCCTCTTGATATGCAAATTATTTTCTCAAGGCGCTCTTCGCCCCTCCATCCCAGCTTAAATAGTCGCTCCAAGCCTGGGGCGTGTCATTCAGACTCTGTTTTCTCGACAGACCTGTTTTCCACCTGAGGACGGCTGCTTGCGTTGTGACCGAAACGTCGTGAGAATTATTTATGTTTTATTTTTATTATTTTATAATTTCCATTCTACGTGACTTTACCGAAAGAACCAAGAAGATATATTTAAGGTCTATTTTATTTTACCAGGTAAGGCCCACGAGAGCTATACAGCTGTTTTTCAGAAGCGACCTGGCCACAAATGAGAGGCCAATTAAGTGGTTTATTACGTGGAAATTTATAGCAGTCAAATACTCGAAGGACATGTTTCTAAATGTGGAGTGAAAACCCCGCACGATAATGGGGAGAAAACGCAAACTCCATATATACAGGCGTGAGGGTCAGCATCAAACCCACAACCTCCTGCATACAAGAGATGTTAACTGTTAAGAGCAGCATCACTATAACCCTGAACGCCGATTAACAAATCACCCGGACTTGGAACGCACGCCTTTCATTGGTCAGAGGCTCCCCAACATCCACTGTAATTGGACAATATGTTCCCCGAATAGCTGCGCACAACCATCCGTGATTTAAGAGGGGGGGTAAAATGTGGGAGTATTAATTATAAAAATTAAGTAAAATAACACGAATAGGACCAGGATCGGCAGGACCTGGACCAGTTTTTTTTTTATGAAACATTTAATTGTTACGCAAAACAAGTCTGGGTAGAAAATTTTGGCTTGTTAGGCTTCGTAAATCCGAATATATTAAGCATCAAAGATTTGAAAGAATATAAACAGACGAGGCAAATCCAATAAAAGTGTGTAAAAAAACATGTTTAATGTAAATACATAAGTTTGATGAAACAAAGTAGTTGTACTTACGTGCCCGTGCTTAATTTGAGTTTCGATGATTTACCTTCTAAAAAAATTGGCCATATCTTGCACCCCCAGAAAGGGCATCTCACACCCCAACGGGGTGCGTGAACCCCGGGATAAGAGCCACTGGTCTAAGTAAAGCAAGAAAGAGAGAACTGCAGTTGAGTTTCACTGGTTTAAACAAGCCAGATTTATAACCAATGCAATATAAGGCAAGCGTCACATTTGCGAGAAACGTTTCTGAGGGTTACGACTAGATTTTAATCAATGTCCATTCATCAATACTAAACGCATATATATAAAAAATTTCCATATTAATTCATGCTGCACCACGGTTTTAAGTTGCAGTGAAAGGGGGTCCACACGAGTGGGCCTGGTAAGGGAACTTTATTGTTCCAACAGAACTAATAGGAACACCTGTAGGGCACGAACATGGTTGTGACGACCAGCCTTTCCTTCCCTCGAGACCTCCGGGTTTGACTTCCACCCTCTTATGCAGGATAACCTCTTTCCAATTCCTCCAATCCCCTATCCCCCTTTTTGCACTTTCATTGCAAACACCCTTCGTTAATTATTTCTATGGGAGTGGTCCATTGTCCTTACTGTGTCCCCTGATGCACTCTACTGATCTGTTTTTACATGTTAATATTTTCCTTGGGGAGCACCTGCATTCCATGTATATACATCAGCTCTGCAACTGACACGGAAACGTTTTCCACTTCGTGAACCAGGTCACCATTGCAAATAAGTCTTCTTGCGTAAATTGACTCTCCAATCATGAAATAATGAAAAGAGGGAAGGTGTTTGTAGCCATTGCATATTTAATATGAATCGACTTGTTGATGTTTAAACTGTCTTTTCACAGCCTCGACTGAACAAACTACAACAGACACCACCACTACAGAATTGACAACTACCACTCCGCAGGCAACCACAACAAAGGAAGGTGCCACCCTATCAACTTCAACAGAACAATCCACCACAACTTCACCTATAATAGCCACTTCAGAATTGACAACTACCACTCCGCAGGCAACTACAACTAAGGAAGTCACCACCCTATCGACATCAACAGAACAATCCACCACAACTGCACCTACAACAGCCACTTCAGAATTGACAACTATCACTCCGCAGGCAACCACAACAAAGGAAGGCACCACCCTATCGACTTCAACAGAACAATCCACCACAACTGCACCTACAACAGCCACTTCAGAATTGACAACTACCACTCCGCAGACAACCACAACAACGGAAGTCACCACCCTATCGACGTCAACAGAACAATCCACCACAACTGCCACTACAGAATTGACAACTACCACTCCGCAGGCAACCACAACAAAGGAAGTCACCACCCTATCGACATCAACAGAACAATCCACCACAACTGCACAAATAACACAGACAGCCACTACAGAATTGACAACTACCACTCCGCAGGCAACCACAATAAAGGAAGTCACCACCCTATCAACTTCAACAGAACAATCCACCACAACTGCGCCTACAACACAGACAGCCACTACAGAATTGACAACTACCACGCCACAGGCAACCACGACAAAGGAAGTCACCACCCTTTTAACTTCAACAGAACAATCCACCACAACTGCACCTACAACACAGACAGCCACTACAGAATTGACAACTACCACTCCCCAGGCAACCACAACAAAGGAAGTCACCACCCGATCAACTTCAACAGAACAATCCACCACAACTGCACCTACAAAAGCCACTTCAGAATTGACAACTACCACTCCGCAGGCAACCACAACAAAGGAAGTCACCACCCTTTCAACTTCAACAGAACAATCCACCACAAGTGCACCTACAACACAGACAGCCACTACAGAATTGACAACTACCACTCCACAGGCAACCACAACAAAGGAAGTCACCACCCTTTTAACTTCAACAGAACAATCCACCACAACTGCACCTACAACACAGACAGCCACTACAGAATTTACAACTACCACTCCGCAGGCAACCACAACAAAGGAAGTCACCACCCGATCAACTTCAACAGAACAATCCACCACAACTGCACCTACAAAAGCCACTTCAGAATTGACAACTTCAACTCCGCAGGCAACCACAACAAAGGAAGTCACCACCCTATCGACTTCAGAACAATCCACCACAACTGCACCTATAACACAGACGGCCACTACAGAATTGACAACTATCATTCCGCAGGCAACTACAACAAAGGAAGTCACCACTCTATCGATTTCAACAGAACAGTCCACCACAACTGCACCTACAACACAGACAGCCACTACAGAATTGACAACTACCACTCCACAGGCAACCACAACAAAGGAAGTCACCACCCTATCGACTTCAACAGAACAATCCACCACAACTGTACCTACAACACAGAAAGCCACTACAGAATTGGCAACTACCACTCCGCAGGCAACAACAACAAAGGAAGTCACCACCCTATCGACTTCAACAGCACAATCCACCACAACTGCACCTACAACAGCCACTTCAGAATTGACATCTAACACTCCGCAGGCAACCACAACAAAGGAAGTCACCACCCTATCAATTTCAACGGCACAATCCACCACAACTGCACCTACAACAGCCACTACAGAATTGACAACTACCACTCCGCAGGCAACCACAACAAAGGAAGTCACCACCCTATCAACTTCAACAGCACAATCCACCACAACTGCACCTACAACAGCCACTTCAGAATTGACATCTACCACTCCGCAGGCAACCACAACAAAGGAAGTCACCACCCTAACGATTTCAACAGCACAATCCACCACAACTGCACTTACAACAGCCACTTCAGAATTGACAACTACCACTCCGCAGGCAACCACAACTAAGGAAGTCCCCACCCTATCGACTTCAACAGCACAATCCACCACAACTGCACCTACAACAGCCACTTCAGAATTTACAACTACAACACCACAGGCAACCACAACAAAGGAAATCACCACCCCATCAACTTCAATAGCACAATCCACCACAACTGCACTTACAACAGCCACTTCAGAATTGACTACTACTCCGCAGGCAACCATAACAAAGAAGGTCACCACCCTGTCAACTTCAACAGCACAATCCACCACAACTGCACCTACAACAGCCACTACAGAATTGACAACTACTACTCCGCAGGCAACCACAACAAAGGAAGTCACAACCCTATCGACTTCAACAGAACAATCCACCACAACTGCACCTATAACACAGACGGCCACTACAGAATTGACAACTACCATTCCGCAGGCAACCACAACAAAGGAAGTCACCACTCTATCGATTTCAACAGAACAGTCCACCACAACTGCACCTACAACACAGACAGCCACTACAGAATTGACAACTACCACTCCACAGGCAACCACAACAAAGGAAGTCACCACCCTATCGACTTCAACAGAACAATCCACCACAACTGTACCTACAACACAGAAAGCCACTCCAGAATTGGCAACTACCACTCCGCAGGCAACAACAACAAAGGAAGTCACCACCCTATCGACTTCAACAGCACAATCCACCACAACTGCACCTACAACAGCCACTTCAGAATTGACATCTAACACTCCGCAGGCAACCACAACAAAGGAAGTCACCACCCTATCAATTTCAACGGCACAATCCACCACAACTGCACCTACAACAGCCACTACAGAATTGACAACTACCACTCCGCAGGCAACCACAACAAAGGAAGTCACCACCCTATCAACTTCAACAGCACAATCCACCACAACTGCACCTACAACAGCCACTTCAGAATTGACATCTACCACTCCGCAGGCAACCACAACAAAGGAAGTCACCACCCTAACGATTTCAACAGCACAATCCACCACAACTGCACTTACAACAGCCACTTCAGAATTGACAACTACCACTCCGCAGGCAACCACAACTAAGGAAGTCACCACCCTATCGACTTCAACAGCACAATCCACCACAACTGCACCTACAACAGCCACTTCAGAATTTACAACTACAACACCACAGGCAACCACAACAAAGGAAATCACCACCCTATCAACTTCAACAGCACAATCCACCACAACTGCACCTACAACAGCCACTACAGAATTGACAACTACTACTCCGCAGGCAACCACAACAAAGGAAGTCACAACCCTGTCAATTTCAACGGCACAATCCACCACAACTGCACCTACAACAGCCACTACAGAATTGACAACTACCACTCCGCAGGCAACCACAACAAAGGAAGTCACCACCCTATCAACTTCAACAGCACAATCCACCACAACTGCACCTACAACAGCCACTTCAGAATTGACATCTACCACTCCGCAGGCAACCACAACAAAGGAAGTCACCACCCTAACGATTTCAACAGCACAATCCACCACAACTGCACTTACAACAGCCACTTCAGAATTGACATCTACCACTCCGCAGGCAACCACAACAAAGGAAGTCACCACCCTAACGATTTCAACAGCACAATCCACCACAACTGCACTTACAACAGCCACTTCAGAATTGACAACTACCACTCCGCAGGCAACTACAACAAAGGAAGTCACCACTCTATCGATTTCAACAGAACAGTCCACCACAACTGCACCTACAACACAGACAGCCACTACAGAATTGACAACTACCACTCCACAGGCAACCACAACAAAGGAAGTCACCACCCTATCGACTTCAACAGAACAATCCACCACAACTGTACCTACAACACAGAAAGCCACTACAGAATTGGCAACTACCACTCCGCAGGCAACAACAACAAAGGAAGTCACCACCCTATCGACTTCAACAGCACAATCCACCACAACTGCACCTACAACAGCCACTTCAGAATTGACATCTAACACTCCGCAGGCAACCACAACAAAGGAAGTCACCACCCTATCAATTTCAACGGCACAATCCACCACAACTGCACCTACAACAGCCACTACAGAATTGACAACTACCACTCCGCAGGCAACCACAACAAAGGAAGTCACCACCCTATCAACTTCAACAGCACAATCCACCACAACTGCACCTACAACAGCCACTTCAGAATTGACATCTACCACTCCGCAGGCAACCACAACAAAGGAAGTCACCACCCTAACGATTTCAACAGCACAATCCACCACAACTGCACTTACAACAGCCACTTCAGAATTGACAACTACCACTCCGCAGGCAACCACAACTAAGGAAGTCCCCACCCTATCGACTTCAACAGCACAATCCACCACAACTGCACCTACAACAGCCACTTCAGAATTTACAACTACAACACCACAGGCAACCACAACAAAGGAAATCACCACCCCATCAACTTCAATAGCACAATCCACCACAACTGCACTTACAACAGCCACTTCAGAATTGACTACTACTCCGCAGGCAACCATAACAAAGAAGGTCACCACCCTGTCAACTTCAACAGCACAATCCACCACAACTGCACCTACAACAGCCACTACAGAATTGACAACTACTACTCCGCAGGCAACCACAACAAAGGAAGTCACAACCCTATCGACTTCAACAGAACAATCCACCACAACTGCACCTATAACACAGACGGCCACTACAGAATTGACAACTACCATTCCGCAGGCAACCACAACAAAGGAAGTCACCACTCTATCGATTTCAACAGAACAGTCCACCACAACTGCACCTACAACACAGACAGCCACTACAGAATTGACAACTACCACTCCACAGGCAACCACAACAAAGGAAGTCACCACCCTATCGACTTCAACAGAACAATCCACCACAACTGTACCTACAACACAGAAAGCCACTACAGAATTGGCAACTACCACTCCGCAGGCAACAACAACAAAGGAAGTCACCACCCTATCGACTTCAACAGCACAATCCACCACAACTGCACCTACAACAGCCACTTCAGAATTGACATCTAACACTCCGCAGGCAACCACAACAAAGGAAGTCACCACCCTATCAATTTCAACGGCACAATCCACCACAACTGCACCTACAACAGCCACTACAGAATTGACAACTACCACTCCGCAGGCAACCACAACAAAGGAAGTCACCACCCTATCAACTTCAACAGCACAATCCACCACAACTGCACCTACAACAGCCACTTCAGAATTGACATCTACCACTCCGCAGGCAACCACAACAAAGGAAGTCACCACCCTAACGATTTCAACAGCACAATCCACCACAACTGCACTTACAACAGCCACTTCAGAATTGACAACTACCACTCCGCAGGCAACCACAACTAAGGAAGTCACCACCCTATCGACTTCAACAGCACAATCCACCACAACTGCACCTACAACAGCCACTTCAGAATTTACAACTACAACACCACAGGCAACCACAACAAAGGAAATCACCACCCTATCAACTTCAACAGCACAATCCACCACAACTGCACCTACAACAGCCACTACAGAATTGACAACTACTACTCCGCAGGCAACCACAACAAAGGAAGTCACAACCCTGTCAATTTCAACGGCACAATCCACCACAACTGCACCTACAACAGCCACTACAGAATTGACAACTACCACTCCGCAGGCAACCACAACAAAGGAAGTCACCACCCTATCAACTTCAACAGCACAATCCACCACAACTGCACCTACAACAGCCACTTCAGAATTGACATCTACCACTCCGCAGGCAACCACAACAAAGGAAGTCACCACCCTAACGATTTCAACAGCACAATCCACCACAACTGCACTTACAACAGCCACTTCAGAATTGACAACTACCACTCCGCAGGCAACCACAACTAAGGAAGTCACCACCCTATCGACTTCAACAGCACAATCCACCACAACTGCACCTACAACAGCCACTTCAGAATTTACAACTACAACACCACAGGCAACCACAACAAAGGAAATCACCACCCTATCAACTTCAACAGCACAATCCACCACAACTGCACCTACAACAGCCACTACAGAATTGACAACTACTACTCCGCAGGCAACCACAACAAAGGAAGTCACAACCCTGTCAACTTCAACAGCACAATCAACCACAACTGCACCTACAACAGCCACTTCAGAATTGACAACTACCACTCCGCAGGCAACCACAACAAATGAAGTCACCACCCTATCAACTTTAACAGCACAATCCACCACAACTGCAACTACAACAGCCACTTCAGAATTGACAACTACAACTCCGCAGGCAACCACAACAAAGGAAGTCACCACCCTATCAACTTCAACAGCACAATCCACCACAAATGCAACTACAACAGCCACTACAGAATTGACATCTACCACTCCGCAGGCAACCACAACAAAGGAAGTCACCACCCTATCGACTTCAACAGAACAATCCACCACAACTGGACCTACAACAGCCACTTCAGAATTGACAACTACCACTCTGCAGGCAACCACAACAAAAGAAGTCACCACCCTATCGACTTCAACAGCACAATCCACCAAAACTGCACCTACAACAGCCACTTCAGAATTGACAACTACCACTCTGCAGGCAACCACAACAAAGGAAGTCACCACCCTATCAACTTCAACAGCACAATCCACCACAACTGCACCTACAACAGCCACTTCAGAATTGACAACTACCACTCCGCAGGCAACCACAACAAAGGAAGTCACCCCCCTATCAGCTTCAACAGCACAATCCACCACAAATGCACCTACAACAACCACTACAGAATTGACATCTACCACTCCGCAGGCAACTACAACAAAGGAAGTCACCACCCTATCGACTTCAACAGCACAATCTACCACAACTGCACCTACAACAGCCACTTCAGATTTGACAACTACAACTCCACAGGCAACTACAACACAGGAAGTCACCACCCTATCGACTTCAACAGCACAATCCACCACAACTGCACCTACAACAGCCACTTCAGAATTGACAACTACGACTCTGCAGGCAACCACAACAAAGGAAGTCACCACCCTATCAGCTTCAACAGCACAATCCACAACTGCACCTACAACAGCCACTACAGAATTGACATCTACCACTCCTGCAGGCAACTACAACAAAGGAAGTCACCACCCTATCGACTTCAACAGCACAATCCACCACAACTGCACCTACAACAGCCGCTTCAGATTTGACAACTACAACTCCACAGGCAACTACAACACAGGAAGTCACCACCCTATCGACTTCAACAGCACAATCCACCACAACTGCACCTACAACAGCCACTTCAGAATTGACAACTACGACTCTGCAGGCAACCACAACAAAGGAAGTCACCACCCTATCAACTTCAACAGCACAATCCACCACAACTGCACCTACAACAGCCACTTCAGAATTGACAACTACCACTCCGCAGGCAACCACAACAAAGGAAGTCACCCGATCAACTTCAACAGCACAATTCACCACAACTGCACCTACAACAGCCACTTCAGAATTGACAACTACCACTCCACAGGCAACCACAACAAAGGAAGTCACCACCCTATCAACTTCAACAGCACAATCCACCTCAACTGCACCTACAACAGCCACTTCAGAATTGACTACTACTCCACAGGCAACCATAACAAAGGAAGTCACCACCCTGTCAACTTCAACAGCGCAATCCACCACAAATGCACCTACAACATCCACTACAGAATTGACAACTACTACTCCACAGGCAACCACAACAAAGGAAGTCACCACCCTTTCAACTTCAACAGCACAATCCACCACAACTGCACCTACAACAGCCACTATAGTATTGACATCTACCACTCCGCAGGCAACCACAACAAAGGAAGTCACCACCCTATCGACTTCAACAGCACAATCCACCACAACTGCACCTACAACAGCCACTACAGAACTGACAACTACCATATCGCAGGCAACCACAACAAAGGAAGTCACCACCCTTACAACTTCAACAGCACAATCCACCACAACTGCACCTACAACAGCCACTTCAGATTTGACAACTACAACTCCACAGGCAACTACAACACAGGAAGTCACCACGCTATCGACTTCAACAGCACAATCCACCACAACTGCACCTACAACAGCCACTTCAGAATTGACAACTACGACTCTGCAGGCAACCACAACAAAGGAAGTCACCACCCTATCAACTTCAACAGCACAATCCACCACAACTGCACCTACAACAGCCACTTCAGAATTGACTACTACTCCACAGGCAACCATAACAAAGGAAGTCACCACCCTGTCAACTTCAACAGCGCAATCCACCACAAATGCACCTACAACATCCACTACAGAATTGACAACTACTACTCCACAGGCAACCACAACAAAGGAAGTCACCACCCTTTCAACTTCAACAGCACAATCCACCACAACTGCACCTACAACAGCCACTATAGTATTGACATCTACCACTCCGCAGGCAACCACAACAAAGGAAGTCACCACCCTATCGACTTCAACAGCACAATCCACCACAACTGCACCTACAACAGCCACTACAGAACTGACAACTACCATATCGCAGGCAACCACAACAAAGGAAGTCACCACCCTTACAACTTCAACAGCACAATCCACCACAACTGCACCTACAACAGCCACTTCAGATTTGACAACTACAACTCCACAGGCAACTACAACACAGGAAGTCACCACGCTATCGACTTCAACAGCACAATCCACCACAACTGCACCTACAACAGCCACTTCAGAATTGACAACTACGACTCTGCAGGCAACCACAACAAAGGAAGTCACCACCCTATCAACTTCAACAGCACAATCCACCACAACTGCACCTACAACAGCCACTTCAGAATTGACAACTACCACTCCGCAGGCAACCACAACAAAGGAAGTCACCCGATCAACTTCAGCACAATTCACCACAACTGCACCTACAACAGCCACTTCAGAATTGACAACTACCACTCCACAGGCAACCACAACAAAGGAAGTCACCACCCTAACAACTTCAACAGCACAACCCACCACAACTGCACCTACAACAGCCACTTCAGAATTGACTACTACTCCACAGGCAACCATAACAAAGGAAGTCACCACCCTGTCAACTTCAACAGCGCAATCCACCACAAATGCACCTACAACATCCACTACAGAATTGACAACTACTACTCCACAGGCAACCACAACAAATGAAGTCACCACCCTGTCAACTTCAACAGCACAATCCACCACAACTGCACCTACAACAGCCACTTCAGAATTGACAACTACAACTCCACAGGCAACTACAACACAGGAAGTCACCACCCTATCGACTTCAACAGCACAATCCACCACAACTGCACCTACAACAGCCACTTCAGATTTGACAACTACGACTCTGCAGGCAAACACAACAAAGGAAGTCACCACCCTATCAACTTCAACAGCAAAATCCACCACAACTGCACCTACAACAGCCACTTCAGAATTGACAACTACCACTCCACAGGCAACCACAACAAAGGAAGTCACCACCCTATCAACTTCAACAGCACAATCCACCACAACTGCACCTACAACAGCCACTTCAGAATTGACTACTACTCCGCAGGCAACCATAACAAAGGAAGTCACCACCCTGTCAACTTCAACAGCGCAATCCACCACAAATGCACCTACAACATCCACTACAGAATTGACAACTACCACTCCACAGGCAACCACAACAAAGGAAGTCACCACCCTATCAACTTCAACAGCACAATCCACCACAACTGCACCTACAACAGCCACTTCAGAATTGACTACTACTCCGCAGGCAACCATAACAAAGGAAGTCACCACCCTGTCAACTTCAACAGCGCAATCCACCACAAATGCACCTACAACATCCACTACAGAATTGACAACTACTACTCCGCAGGCAACCACAACAAAGGAAGTCACCCTATCAACTTCAACAGCACAATCCACCACAACTGCACCTACAACAGCCACTTCAGAATTGACAACTACCACTCCGCAGGCAACCACAACAAAGGAAGTCACCACCCTATCGACTTCAACAGCACAATCCACCACAACTGCACCTACAACAGCCACTTCAGAATTGACAACTACCACTCCGCAGGCAACCACAACTAAGGAAGTTACCACCCTATCGACTTCAGCACAATCCACCACAACTGCACCTACAACAGCCACTTCAGAATTGACAACTACAACTCCACAGGCAACTACAACAGAGGAAGTCACCACCATATCGACTTCAACAGCACAATCCACCACAAATGCACCTACAACAGACACTTCAGATTTGACAACTACAACTCCACAGGCAACTACAACACAGGAAGTCACCACCCTATCGACTTCAACAGCACAATCCACCACAACTACACCTACAACAGCCACTTCAGAATTGACAACTACCACTCCGCAGGCAACCACAACAAAGGAAGTCACCACCCTATCAACTTCAACAGCACAATCCACCACAACTGCACCTACAACAGCCACTTCAGAATTGACAACTACCACTCCGCAGGCAACCACAACAAGAGAAGACACCACCCTATCGACTTCAACAGCACAATCCACCACAACTGGACCTACAACAGCCACTTCAGAATTGACAACTACCACTCTGCAGGCAACCACAACAAAGGAAGTCACCACTCTATCAACTTCAACAGCACAATCCACCACAACTGCATCTACAACAGCCACTTCAGAATTGACAACTACCACTCCGCAGGCAACCACAATAAAGGAAGTCACCCTATCAACTTCAACAGCACAATCCACCACAACTGAACCTACAACAGCCACTTCAGAATTGACAACTACCACTCCGCAGGCAACCACAACAAAGGAAGTCACCACCCTATCGACTTCAGCACAATCCACCACAACCGCACCTACAACAGCCACTTCAGAATTGACAACTACAACTCCACAGGCAACTACAACACAGGAAGTCACCACCATATCGACTTCAACAGCACAATCCACCACAAATGCACCTACAACAGACACTTCAGATTTGACAACTACAACTCCACAGGCAACTACAACACAGGAAGTCACCACCCTATCGACTTCAACAGCACAATCCACCACAACTACACCTACAACAGCCACTTCACAATTGACAACTACCACTCCGCAGGCAACCACAACAAAGGAAGTCACCACCCTATCAACTTCAACAGCACAATCCACCACAACTGCACCTACAACAGCCACTTCAGAATTGACAACTACCACTCCGCAGGCAACCACAACTAAGGAAGTCACCACCCTATCGACTTCAACAGCACAATCCACCACAACTGCACCTACAACAGCCACTTCAGAATTGACAACTACCACTCCGCAGGCAACCACAACTAAGGAAGTCACCACCCTATCGACTTCAACAGCACAATCCACCACAACTGCACCTACAACAGCCACTTCAGCATTGACATCTACAACTCCACAGGCAACTACAACAAAGGAAGTCACCACCCTATCGACTTCAACAGCACAATCCACCACAACTGCACCTACAACAGCCACTTCAGAATTGACAACTACCACTCCGCAGGCAACCACAACTAAGGAAGTCACCACCCTATCGACTTCAACAACACAATCCACCACAACTGCACCTACAACAGCCACTTCAGAATTGACAACTACCACTCCGCAGGAAACCACAACCAAGGAAGTCACCACCCTATCAACTTCAACAGCACAATCCACCACAACTGCACCTACAACAGCCACTTCAGAATTGACAACTACCACTCCGCAGGCAACCACAATAAAGGAAGTCACCCTATCAACTTTAACAGCACAATCCACCACAACTGCACCTACAACAGCCACTTCAGAATTGACAAATACCACTCCGCAGGCAACCACAACAAAGGAAGTCACCACCCTATCGACTTCAACAGCACAATCCACCACAACTGCACCTACAACAGCCACTTCAGAATTGACAACTACCACTCCGCAGGCAACCACAACTAAGGAAGTTACCACCCTATCGACTTCAGCACAATCCACCACAACTGCACCTACAACAGCCACTTCAGAATTGACAACTACAACTCCACAGGCAACTACAACACAGGAAGTCACCACCATATCGACTTCAACAGCACAATCCACCACAAATGCACCTACAACAGACACTTCAGATTTGACAACTACAACTCCACAGGCAACTACAACACAGGAAGTCACCACCCTATCGACTTCAACAGCACAATCCACCACAACTACACCTACAACAGCCACTTCAGAATTGACAACTACCACTCCGCAGGCAACCACAACAAAGGAAGTCACCACCCTATCAACTTCAACAGCACAATCCACCACAACTGCACCTACAACAGCCACTTCAGAATTGACAACTACCACTCCGCAGGCAACCACAACAAAAGAAGACACCACCCTATCGACTTCAACAGCACAATCCACCACAACTGGACCTACAACAGCCACTTCAGAATTGACAACTACCACTCTGCAGGCAACCACAACAAAGGAAGTCACCACTCTATCAACTTCAACAGCACAATCCACCACAACTGCATCTACAACAGCCACTTCAGAATTGACAACTACCACTCCGCAGGCAACCACAATAAAGGAAGTCACCCTATCAACTTCAACAGCACAATCCACCACAACTGAACCTACAACAGCCACTTCAGAATTGACAACTACCACTCCGCAGGCAACCACAACAAAGGAAGTCACCACCCTATCGACTTCAACAGCACAATCCACCACAACTGCACCTACAACAGCCACTTCAGAATTGACAACTACCACTCCGCAGGCAACCACAACTAAGGAAGTCACCACCCTATCGACTTCAGCACAATCCACCACAACTGCACCTACAACAGCCACTTCAGAATTGACAACTACAACTCCACAGGCAACTACAACACAGGAAGTCACCACCATATCGACTTCAACAGCACAATCCACCACAAATGCACCTACAACAGACACTTCAGATTTGACAACTACAACTCCACAGGCAACTACAACACAGGAAGTCACCACCCTATCGACTTCAACAGCACAATCCACCACAACTACACCTACAACAGCCACTTCACAATTGACAACTACCACTCCGCAGGCAACCACAACAAAGGAAGTCACCACCCTATCAACTTCAACAGCACAATCCACCACAACTGCACCTACAACAGCCACTTCAGAATTGACAACTACCACTCCGCAGGCAACCACAACTAAGGAAGTCACCACCCTATCGACTTCAACAGCACAATCCACCACAACTGCACCTACAACAGCCAATTCAGAATTGACAACTACCACTCCGCAGGCAACCACAACTAAGGAAGTCACCACCCTATCGACTTCAACAGCACAATCCACCACAACTGCACCTACAACAGCCACTTCAGAATTGACAACTACCACTCCGCAGGCAACCACAACTAAGGAAGTCACCACCCTATCGACTTCAACAGCACAATCCACCACAACTGCACCTACAACAGCCACTTCAGCATTGACATCTACAACTCCACAGGCAACTACAACAAAGGAAGTCACCACCCTATCGACTTCAACAGCACAATCCACCACAAGTGCACCTACAACAGCCACTTCAGAATTGACAACTACCACTCCGCAGGCAACCACAACTAAGGAAGTCACCACCCTATCGACTTCAACAACACAATCCACCACAACTGCACCTACAACAGCCACTTCAGAATTGACAACTACAACTCCACAGGCAACTACAACAAAGGAAGTCACCACCCCATCGACTTCAACAGCACAATCCACCACAACTGCACCTACAACAGCCACTTCAGAATTGACAACTACCACTCCGCAGGAAACCACAACCAAGGAAGTCACCACCCTATCAACTTCAACAGCACAATCCACCACAACTGCACCTACAACAGCCACTTCAGAATTGACAACTACCACTCCGCAGGCAACCACAACAAAGGAAGACACCACCCTATCGACTTCAACAGCACAATCCACCACAACTGCACCTACAACAGCCACTTCAGAATTGAAAACTACCACTCCGCAGGCAACCACAACAAAGGAAGTCACCACCCTATCAACTTCAACAGCACAATCCACCACAACTGCACCTACAACAGCCACTTCAAAATTGACAACTACCACTCCGCAGGCAACCACAACAAAGGAAGTCACCACCCTATCAACTTCAACAGCACAATCCACCACAACTGCACCTACAACAGCCACTTCAGAATTGACAACTACCACTCCGCAGGCAACCACAACTAAGGAAGTCACCACCCTATCAACTTCAACAGCACTATCCACCACAACTGCACCTACAACAGCCACTTCAGAATTGACAACTACCACTCCGCAGGCAACCACAACTAAGGAAGTCACCACCCTATCGACTTTAACAGCACAATCCACCACAACTGCACCTACAACAGCCACTTCAGAATTGACATCGACAACTCCACAGGCAACTACAACAAAGGAAGTCACCACCCTATCGACTTCAACAGCACAATCCACTACAACTGCACCTACAACAGCCACTTCAGAATTGACAACTACCACTCCGCAGGCAACCACAACTAAGGAAGTCACCACCCTATCGACTTCAACAACACAATCCACCACAACTGCACCTACAACAGCCACTTCAGAATTGACAACTACAACTCCACAGGCAACTACAACAAAGGAAGTCACCACCCGATCGACTTCAACAGCACAATCCACCACCACTGCACCTACAACAGCCACTTCAGAATTGACAACTACCACTCCGCAGGAAACCACAACCAAGGAAGTCACCACCCTATCAACTTCAACAGGACAATCAACCACAACTGCATCTACAACAGCCACTTCAGAATTGACAACTACCACTACGCAGGCTACCACAACAAAGGAAGTCACCACCCTATCGACTTCAACAGCACAATCCACCACAACTGCACCTACAACAGCCACTTCAGAATTGACAACTACCACTCCGCAGGCAACCACAACAAAGGAAATCACCACCCTATCGACTTCAACAGCACAATCCACCACAACTGCACCTACAACAGCCACTTCAGAATTGACATCAACCACTCCGCAGGCAACCACAACAAAGGAAGTCACCACCCTATCGACTTTAACAGCACCATCCACCACAACTGCACCTACAACAGCCACTTCAGAATTGACATCTACAACTCCACAGGCAACTACAACAAAGGAAGTCACCACCCTATCGACTTCAACAGCACAATCCACTACAACTGCACCTACAACAGCCACTTCAGAATTGACAACTACCACTACGCAGGCAACCACAACAAAGGAAGTCACCACCCTATCGACTTCAACAGCCCAATCCACCACAACTGCACCTACAACAGCCACTTCAGAATTGACAACTACCACTCCGCAGGCAACCACAACAAAGGAAGTCACCACCCTGTCAAATTCAACAGCACAATCCACCACAATTGCACCTACAACATCCACTTCAGAATTGACAACTACCACTCCGCAGGAAACCACAACCAAGGAAGTCACCACCCTATCAACTTCAACAGGACAATCCACCACAACTGCATCTACAACAGCCACTTTAGAATTGACAACTACCACTCCGCAGGCAACCACAACAAAGGAAGTCACCACCCTATCGACTTCAACAGCCCAATCCACCACAACTGCACCTACAACAGCCACTTCAGAATTGACAACTACCACTCCGCAGGCAACCACAACAAAGGAAGTCACCACCCTATCGACGTCAACAGAACAATCCACCACAACTGCACCTACAACAGCCACTACAGGATTTACATCAACCACTCCGCAGGCAACCACAACAAAGGAAGTCACCACCCTATCGACTTCAACAGCCCAATCCACCACAACTGCACCTACAACAGCCACTTCAGAATTGACAACTACAACTCCACAGGCAACTACAACAAAGGAAGTCACCACCCTATCAACTTCAACAGCACAATCCACCACAACTGCACCTACAACAGCCACTTCAGAATTGACAACTACCACTCGGCAAGCAACCACAACAAAGGAAGTCACCACCCTATCAACTTTAACGACACAATACACCACAACTGCACCTACAACAGCCACTTCAGAATTGACAACTACCACTCCGCAGGAAACCACAACAAAGGAAGTCACCACCCTATCGACTTCAACAGAACAATCTACCATAATCACAGAAGCAATCACCCAAGCCCCTACCACAACTTCACAATCCACCACAAATACGCCAGCAACAACGGAGACAACCACCGTACATTTGAGAACAACCACACCGCAGACAACCACTCCAACCACAACACTGCAAACTACCACCCAATCAACTTCACAAACAACCACAAATACACCGACAACAGACACAACCACCGTACATTTGACAACAACCACACCGCAGACAACCACAACACATCAAGCCACCACACTATCGACTTCAACAGAACAATCTACCAGAATCACAGAAGCAATCACCCAAGCCCCTGCCACAACTTCACAATCCACCACAAATACGCCAGCAACAACGGAGACAACCACCGTACATTTGAGAACAACCACACCGCAGACAACCACTCCAACCACAACACTGCAAACTACCACCCAATCAACTTCACAAACAACCACAAATACACCGACAACAGACACAACCACCGTACATTTGACAACAACCACACCGCAGACAACCACAACACATCAAGCCACCACACTATCGACTTCAACAGAACAATCTACCAGAATCACAGAAGCAATCACCCAAGCCCCTACCACAACTTCACAATCTACCACAAATACACCGACAACAACAGAGACAACCACTGTAAAATTAACAACAACCACACCGCAAACTACCACGCCAACCACAACAAAAGAAGATACCACCCAATCAACTTCACAATCCACCACAAATACACTGACAACAACAGAGACAACCACTGTAAAATTGACAACAACCACACTGCAGACAACCACACCAACCACAACATTGCAAACTACCACCCAATCAACTTCACAAACAACCACAAATACACCGACAACAGAGACAACCACTGTAAATTTGACAACAACTACACAGCAAACTACCACGCCAACCACAACAAAAGAAACTACCACCCAGTCAACTTCACAATCCACCACAAATGCACCGACAACAGAGACAACCACTGTAAATTTGACAACAACCACACCGCAGACAACCACACCAACCACAACAAAAGAAACTACCACCCAATCAATTTCACAATCCACCACAAATACACCGACAACAGAGACAACCACTGTAAATTTGACAACAACCACACCGCAAACTTCCACGCCAACCACAACAAAAGAAACTACCACCCAATCAACTTCACAATCCACCACACATCCACCGACAACAGAGACAACCACTGTAAATTTGACAACAACCACACCGCAGACAACCACACCAACCACAAAAGAAACTACCACCCAATCAACTTCACAATCCACCACAAATACACCGACAACAATCACAACAGCATCTTCAACCACAACATCTCTCCCCACCACACTTGCATCACCAACAACATTGACAACAATCACAACAGCATCACCATCAACCACAACAAAATCTCCAACCACAATAGTGTCACAAACAACATATACCCCAACTACAACATCTTCAACAACAACATCTTCAACATCGCAAATCACAACAGCATCGCCATCTACAACATCTCCAGGTTAGTTATGTTATGTGAACAGGACCTATGCCTGACTATTCCGCTAGCAGTATTAAGATCTCGATTTAAAATGTGGATATCCACCGTTTGTTAAACCAGGTTCTGAAATGTACAGGAGTCGGTTGATGGTCTCAATGTGAACACTAATTATTGTGCTGCATAAATTATCGTGTGAATTGTATATTATTCCATAATAACATTAATATCCCATAGGTAATTTTAAATGTGGCTAACCCTCTAGAGATAATGTGAGAACTCGCCTATATCTACGTTCATTCCACGACAAGTTTATGATAATACAATTGTGAAATTCATTGGCGATATGAAATATATATTAAGTGCTTAAAATGTATATATTACGTCATATATCCATGCAACTTCTACAATGAACAATACAGCACCATCTAAGATGGTTACCCATAATGTATGTTGTTTATTTACATGCAACTTTTCAGTACCAGGTTTGCCAAGAAATCTAACTCTTGCCAGTGGAGGAGTAACAAACACATCTCTGCAAGTCATTTGGCTGAGTGCTCTGGGAGATGTTGAACGATACACAGCATTAATCTCTCCTGGAGATTCACCCTCCATTGCTGTTAGCCCGAATGGTTCACTCAATGCCAAGTTTGCTGGGCTGAGACCCGGAGTCCTATACATCATCACTGTGAAAGCCATTGGGAAAGGAAATCTCTCTGGTGAAGGAGTGTCTGTGACTGCGAGGACAGGTATTTACACTCCAACTACATCGAAGCCATTTTAGCCGATTTGAGGGACATTTATTTAATGTCAATATTGTACACAAACAATATGTATTATGTTGAACTTCTGTGATAATCAGGGGTGCGGGGAAAGGACAATAAACTAAATACAAAAAGCAGTTCCAAGGAAATTAGTTTTCAATCTAGATTAAAAAATGCACAGCTTCCTAATATCGGAAGAGCATTCCAGACGGCCGCAGAAGTGCATCTGAAAGCGCGCAATGCAGTGATCGTCTTTGTTCGATGGTTAGAATATATAACTATTGTATAGTGTGATACATAACTATTGTATAGTATTTGCAAAAAAAAGTATGCTCAAAGAAGAATACGTATATGAAAAATCTACGTAATGTGTATGATTTTTTAAAAACTAATGCAGTAGATTACGTACATGATGATCATCATATATAATACCATAAATGTTATATACTGTATTTCAATCATGATTTGTACAATATTGCTTCTCAAACCCCAACACTCACTACATCTGAAAAGAAGTCAAGGCGATAAAATAATTATATAGCACCTAAGATATTTTTGTGAACGTGTTTAATAAAGGAAGTACTTCCTGTATTAACGATATTAGATTTTCTAACATAGGCATTATAAATACCAATGAAAACTACAAGAAACTTTCACTTGCAGAGTGCCAAAAGTTATACTCATAACAAACGTCAGGAAAACTCACGTATACATGTCCAAAACAAAATACAATTATTGGAGAGACCATTTAAAAGCAAATTTGTAAATTACTCGTCATTTACAGAGTTGAATTTATTGTTTTCTATGAGGTAATCGTATGGGTATCCCCAGAGTGTAGAAGTGGGGACTGAATAGCCAACGAATGTGAGCTTTCCAGAAGTAGGCCTGCCAGCAATGAGCATTAATTAGGTTACTGTGTAATATTCTTCTGAGTCTCAATAATGACAAACTTGGTCTACCGTTCTCTGTCTGTTGATTAGACAAATTAGCTCAACTTAATACAAGATGGCCACATTGCAATTCTTCAGGAACTGGCGGGTTTGCATAATGCTTAAGGCCCGAAGACATTTTGTATGCACAGTGCACGTTTTTGTGTTGTTTTGTGTTGTATATATCCAGGGTAATCATTGCAAGTGGATCAGGATTAAAACGATGAATGAAAGACATCAGAATAGAGCAATTCTTGTGAATTTTAACTTGATAAATGGAGATACAGATGTATAACTAAAAAAAGCGTTCCATATATTTTGCTGCTATCTTTGATGTATGAACGGGTAAGCATAGGGATATGTTCACAGACTGAAACCGTCACGGGAGGGCACATTTGGATGAGTGAACAAACACAAACCCGTTTAATACGTAGACTTTCGCGACCAATATTATACATAAAACAAGTGTTTTGTGTTAGATCACGTAAATATCAATGGGGTTTACTCTCCAACACACCGATGTGCTGAAGTAGTAACTAATTGCCACGTTTTGTTTACGTGACAAACCTTACTAAATGGCTGTGTCGGGTGGTGTCGGTTTAACGACATATTTATATTTACGCGATCTAACCCAAAAAACACCTCTTAAAGGAAAACACAGCAGATTAACTGAAGATACACTCCTTTAAAAAGTTTTTTTTAAACAACGCTTGTATTAACAACTTCGTTTAACTCACGGTCGAGAAGTACAGTACGTCAATGGCGCCTGCGTTTTGTGCGAGTAGATTCCACAGTTTAGGGACCGCGGCGTTTTTTGACCTTCACAAAAAAATATAATTAATTTGCCGTCCATACAAAAATTGTAATTGCTTGAAAGGAGGTAATTAATTGATGAATTGATGCCGATTTTCACATAGGCGTGCATTGTCACCGGAGCTGAGTACGTGTACAATATTTGGAATTGATTGGACAGCAGGAAGTAGACTAACTTTTGATTACAAGATTTGACCACGACAAACACAAGTGAAGTTAAATAAAACCGTTGAATAAAGTGAGCATGCATGGCCGATTCACAAAACTGGTGACGGAGCGCCAGCCAAAAGAGAGCAATGCACACCACAAGGAAAAACTAGTGGAGATGGAGTGATGAAATCATTTCATGAAGACAGGTGCTTATTCATTTACTGTATAAGGGTATATCATCTATTGTGATATTTCCCCCCTGTTGGAGTTAGTACATTTTAACACGTGTTGGCGCGTGTTAAAAACAACCACAACACGCAACAGCAACAAATTGAGGCAGTGACATTCCAGTTTTTAATGTATAGCTTCTACCAACGTGCACAACCGATTAGCATGGTTGGCTACGTAGGGTGCGAAAGAAGTTCAACACACATCGGGACGTGTGTCTTATTATCAAACCGGATGCTGGTTTGAAGGGCACAAATGTTTGAATTTCCTGTCCATAGTTAACGCCATACTAAATCCTTTTGTACTCATCAGTTCCAGGGAATGCAAGGAATTTGACCTTCACTAGTCAAGGAGTGACCAACAAGTCCTTGGAAATTGTCTGGACGAGCGCTCAGGGCGACGTGGCACAATATGCGGTGCTCATCTCTCCGGCAAACGTTTCTGCCCTTTCCATCAGTCCAAATGGGTTACTCATCGCCAAGTTTGATAATTTGAGAGCAGGTGTCCTCTATGTCATCAACGTGAAAACCATCGATCATGGGAATAACTCCAATGATGGGGTATCTGTGACGCAAAGAACAGGTAACTTATCTCTGTAGCCTTTTAGTAGTAACTGAGGTTGCTTTCACAATGCTTACAGCAATTCGTTTGCACATATACAGCACATCAGAAATCCAATAATTCGTGTTGATTTGAGAGGCTATGTCACAAATCATGTAATCAGCAGCACACCGCGCAGGTTTGACCAAACAATCCGTGCAATGTGTTATTTTGCACCCGCGCGGTTGTGTGATGCAAATAGGATGAAAGATTCCATTAATCCGTGAAAAATGTGCGCATGACAGGGGAACCGTGCCTAAATTCATCCGCGAGTGGTTTCGTTTCTTCTCAGACCCAAATTGTGCAAATCCGTTATCAACGCGTATCGTTTTGTTACTCAAAAAACCTCGACATCAGTCCCCACGTTCGCCCCACCCGCTTGCACGGATCGCGATTTCCATTTTCGTGAAGCATTTTGAATCCACCGCGGTTTGCCACGGAATTACCGAAGGGCATCGCGAACCAACAATTATAATTATCCACGAATTACAAGGATTCGTAGAATATTACATTTGGAATTATTGGTGTTCTGCTGCACTTGTTAATCATTTATACCCAAAAATGCCGTCAGTACACACACTTCTGTAGATTTACACTGTTTCATTAACATTTAGCGTGTCCTGTTATCAACATTACAGTCACGTATATGGAGTCAGATATCATCAGTTGGGTATCTATAAATGGATGACTGTTAATTAAAGTATAATTCCTATGATCTGTAACCCGATTATCCACAACTCTTATTATCCACAAGCTGTAGGATTTGTGGAAACCTATTATCCATGGCCCTATGGTTTCCTATTGTAAAATGTATACGTTAAGTAAATGTGTGGTTAATCGCAACCACAAAATTCAATCTCCCCAACAACATCACTGCAGATAAGAGGATATACTGTGTGCAGCTGTTTATATTTTTAGATATCCAGCGTGTGCCGAGATATTTTTTTTTTATGTATATACAATTGCGTTAATTTGTCCTTTTAAGCATCGTCTTAATTTCGCTTCTCGTTCACTTTATAGACGTTGACGAGTGCATTGATGGGAACAACAAATGCGCTCAGGTATGCAATGAGCTGAACCTCTTTGAGAACAGCCAGGGCTACAACTGCAGCTGCTTCAGTGGCTTCAAGATGCAGCAAGATGGCAGAAGTTGTCAGCGTGAGTTAACGACACTTAATTTATTCTGCGCATGTGTCCATGTTGTTTCACAGTGCACTTGATTGAGACACGCATCTTCTGGTGTAATCGGGACCCCATTTTCCATTTGCCGTGGGTATTTTTACTGTATTTATTCTTGTTGGTGCTACCACAATGAGTACACTATACGATATGTTAAACATTTAGTACGCACATCAAACTGTAATGTTTAACATTTCGGTAGGATTGTGTTGCCTGTAACTTGCAAATCGCATAAAAGCGAAGCTAAATATTCTAAGTGACAGTATTAAACATTTTAATGTAGTCTTCTTTCGCTCCAATAAATGTTAACGTAGAAAAATACAGTAAAGGGAAACATTTACTTATGTTTTGGAAGTAAAAGTAATGATGGTGTGTGTAGTGCTGAACTCGACATGACAGCTTCTTGCTTTTCTTCCTCACTTTATTCCGCTAATACTGATCAACATTCCTTCAGCGCGTTCTCCGCTCGCTCGCCGCCGCGTTCCGCCGGCCTCGCTCGCTCCGCGTCTCTCATTCTGTCGACTCTCCTCTCCACTCTCTCAGTCACAGTTCAGCCGCTCTTTATCAGCTTCGCCGTCACACTGCTACCCTATACTTCTCCACTGCTACCCTATACTTCTCCACTGCTACCCTATACTTCTCCACTGCTACCCTATACTTCTCTACTGCTTCTGGCTCCGCTGTTTCCGCTCCAACATTCTTCTTCTCCTCCCAGGCACGAACTCCCGTCTCCTTCAAAACCCCCTCTCTTTATGCCCAAGCCAATTAATCTTTAATTAATCAGGTGGCGTCCCCTGCGACGCCCCTCGCCCCCAGCCCCCCCCCCCCCCCCCCCCCCCCGCTGGTACCCGCCACGTGTTCCAGACAACGTGGCGCCACTTAGCGACGACAACAACCTCCCGGCCAATCAGCGCCCTGCATCCTTAATCGCCCTCTACCACCTGTTACTGTCCTCAGACAGCGTGGCGTCGCATTTAGACAATAACAAATCCCACCCAATCGGCGCCCTGTGTCCTTAATTGCCCCCTACCCGTCTCTGGCCTCCTCCTTGCATCGAGACGACAAAAACAACCTCGACCTCGTATGCTCCCACTGTACTCTGCCCACACGTGCCCCAGATTCCCGCGCGTGGCGCATATTTCAGGCACTACATACATACAATGTGTAGAGTGGTGATTGGTTGCAATAGTGGCAAATGTCGATTTAAATTCCAATGAGATAAATCATATTTAACTGACAAAACATCAAAAACAAAAACAGTTTCTTATATTAATGTCACCGCTGCCATAGCGCATGTTCTGCTCAGCCCCATTAGCTCGCTCAATGTTGAAATCAAGCTCTGATCAGCCATCGTGCGCCTTTCCAATGTACAGCTCTACATCGCAACAACACCACTACCACCAAGTGTTTGCAATTGCAAAAACGAATTCCGTTTTTCAAAACCAAAACGCACTCATCATCTTCCAACTCCGTTATAGCTATTGATTCGAGTTGTATTGCTCAAAGTAAACAAGTTTATTAACACTCGTAATACTGATTAAAGAACTCGCCACGAAGCCGATTTTCCGCGCAAATACTAAGTGGTGGAAGGGGTGGAGGAGATTGCTGACTGATGCTGCCCCCACGTGTGGTGGTTGTCAGTACTGCTTGCCGCTTGCTTGCTGCTGATGCTGCGGCACTTCGAGGCATCAACGCCACTCAACTTTGCCTCCCGACTCGCGATCAGCTCCGCAAGGCGCGCTCCGTCTGCGTCGCGTCCCAGACGCGCTCGTTATTTCCATTCATAGTGCGCGCATGTACAACAAAAATAAGCGCTCGTTATTTCCATCATAGTGCGCGCATTTACAACAAAAATAAGCGCTCGTTATTTCCATTCATAGTGCGCGCATGTACAACAAAAATAAGCGCTCGTTATTTCCATCATAGTGCGCGCATGTACAACAAAAATAAGCGCTCGTTATTTCCATTCATGGTGCGCGCATGTACAACAAAAATAAGCGCTCGTTATTTCCATTCATAGTGCGCGCATGTACAAAAAAAATAAGCGCTCGTTATTTCCATTCATAGTGCGCGCATGTGCAACAAAAATAAGTGCGAGTTAATCGAACGCGCCATTTCAACCCCGCGTTACGTAAAACGCAAGGCGACTCCACCGAGCTCCTGTCAGTCGATTGACGTAAATTGAACAGTTAAGACATTATTTCTAGATTTGAAGCTTTCGTTACTGCAATAATTTAGCATGTGCACCTCTAGCATGTGCACTTGTTGTTCTCTTTCAGCCCCGCCCCCCCCCAATACGTTCCATTCATTGGCTACCACATTCAGATGAGCCCCTCCCCCCTCCTCCCCCCTTAACTTGTATTTAAGAACTTATATCTTGTAATTTTTTGCCTCACTTGATACAGTAAATCTAGCTGTGACGGTCCCACCTGATGACGGAGACTTGTGTTGCTTCCGAAATGTCGTGATTTATTATTACTTTTATTAATTTTAATGTTATAACTTTTTTACCTACGTGACTTTACCGAAAAAACCTAAGAGTAGTTAGACATTATTATTATTATTGGAGCTAAAGGGCACTTAATCCACCCAAATCTAAACTGTGCACTTCGGGGGCTAGGGTCCCAATCCTTGATCACTATTGCATTAACTTAAACAATAATTTAAAAAACGCAACTGGTTACCCGTAGCTATTAGCAGAGTGCTCAAATTATACGTGTCATACATGTGATTAATCACAGGTGAGCACACACCAGCATCAGGGAGATAAAGCTGGTGAGGTGTGATGCTGGCCACACTTCCTGTGTCCTAGGCTGGTTCTTAATAAGTGTTTGCTGTGTGTTTAATTCAGATTTAATTGAATATAGAAATATTAACAAATACAAGAACGGCAGTGTATATTAATTCTGTACCTCAGAGATGTGAATACAAATGCTGCCATATATGCTGTGACTGACCCAAAGTCTTACATATAGCTCATATTTTCAACCTTTATAAGATTTAAAGTACATATTTGAATCGTAAATCTAGGCAATGGTCACCAGTGCATAAGCAATTTGACCAATTGGATGCAACTGGGAGTGAAGTAATATATCATGGACAGAGCCAAATGAAGAAGGCCATGATCGCCGAAGTCTTTGAGAAAGGACACGGCTCATAGAGAATAGGAATTGGAAATGATAACTAAATATTTAGAAAATGACTTCACTGTATCATTTTAATCGTGGGATGGATGGTAGGCTTGAATAAAGGAAATCAATGTAATTATTTAGAGTACAATATAGTATTGCCCTGCATCAAAAATGTAATCTAAACATTAAATTTCACATTCATCTGTTTTGGCCATCTCGTTACACCCAAACATCACATGTTAGCTCTTTAATAAGTTTACTGAATGTATAAGCACGTACATACAAACATATATAATTTTTTTACAACATACTAAATATATTTACAGTCAAATATAAAAAAAACATTAAATTTGCTTGTAAAAATATTGAGTCATTGTGTATGCATTACTGTACTGTTTCATTACACACGTTACGATTTGAATTGTGAACAATTACACTGCGATACCGTATGGAGGTTAATGCGCTATATATGTTGCATGTTATTTTTCAGCTATTGTGAGCTGCACACTGGCCTGTACCAATGGAAGGTGCTTTATTGATCCCAACACAAAGAGGCCAACCTGCTCCTGTAACATTGGTTACGTCCTTGATAAAAGCAAGCAAAACTGCTTAGGTAAAACTGGATTTGCCAGCACAGCTGACATACTATTGCACGATCAATCTGTTGTATTTTTATGCTTTCTCCCACCTAGTATCCATTCATTAGAGGAGATGTCAGTAATACTGTATGTTTATTTAAAGCATTTAAGATTAAACATTGTTTTAAAATGTTATGTTTCTAATATGATGATTGTGCTTCACGTACCCTCAAACATACCTCTAGACCTGCTGCTTAGCTAGCTATATAAGAATTATTATGATACATTGCCAATACTGTGTTGTTTAAGCTCAATTGCCTGTGCCTGATAACTACATGCAATGCTACTGAATGATACATATTTTAATGAATAGCTGTTAGTTGCAAGCAATGCAATAATTGTCATGATACATTGCCAATACTGTGTTAAGCTCAATTGCCTGATGACTGCATGCGGTGCTCTTGAATGATACAGATTTGAATGAATGTGAAGAACAGCCTAAACCGTGTGAGCAAGAATGCTCTAACACCATCGGAAGCTACAAGTGCTCGTGTTCTCCTGGGTTCACGCAGGATCTTGTTGTTGCTAACAGATGCATTGGTACGTGAAAACCGTCACTATGGAGATTTTTCCCAGTTCCACAGCCCTTGTGTTTTTCTTTAAACAAACAAAGCATGATTGAGGGAAGAGTGATTGGGCTCACTGTCCCCCTACTCACGTAGGGGCAACGATCAGGAATTTTTACGGGAGCGACAGAAGAGGGAAAGGAGGAGTGTACTCAAACAGAACCGCACAATAAAATAGCATAGACACGAAATGAGTGAACTTGACGTTGTTAATTCACCACATCATCTTGGTCGTAGGTTTTTGTTTTACCATACTTCGTTAGTGCGGTTTGGGGGATGTGTTGTTAAGGATATTAATTTCATTGGTACAGCAAAATTGAGTTGAAAGAAATAAGTTGGACTGAGCCATTACATTTTACATGATACACATGTGTACCATTTTACTATTAAACAGGACCCTGCGGGGTGGGCTGGTAGGAACGAATAACCAAATAATATAAACATAATGTATTATTACACTTGTTTAGCCAGGAAAGGCCCACTGAGTCTAAAGGTTTTTCTAGGGTCCTGCCAAGTGTTTGCAGTAGGGGGCGATGTTGCTACACCTAATCGGACGATACGAAGGGAGCGTTTGAGGCCTAGTTGTAGGCTTTAGGCCTAGCTGTAGGCTTTAGGCTGCTGTGAGTTAATTGTTAATTTAAATGATTTAATTATTTATGTAAAAGCTTTAAATATAAATGTTTCTATTTAAAAGCATCAGGGAATGTAACATTGTTAAACATTAACTCCCTTGCACACACGCGGGGGAACGATACGAAGGGAGAGTTTGAGGCGTTGTTCGAGGCTTTAGGCCTAGCTGTAGGCTTTAGGCCGCTGTGAGTTAAATTTTAATTTACAAGTTTTAATTAAAAGCTATCTCAGGGAATTATAAGGGAATGTTACACTTGTTTAGCCAGGAAAGCCTAATTAATTTAAATGTTTTAATTAAAAGCTATCTGAGGGAATTATAAGGAAATGTTACACTTGTTTAGCCAGGAAAGCGTCACTGAGTCTAAAGGTTTTTGTAGGGTCATGCCAAGTGTTTGCAGTAGGGGGCGATGTTGCTACACGGACGGACGGATGGACGATATAATCTATTGTAGGCTGGTCCACTTCGTTCCTACCAGTATAATCGTAACATACCTGTTACAACTTAATGCTGGGCGGTGGTTGCTTTGCACACCTGTAATCCAGGATGGTGGAGGTGAGAGTTGGTGGATCGCACAAATATTTGAAGCTCCCTTCCCGTGGGCATTAAGGTGCCATACCCTAGGCTCGCCAGGAGAAGGAAGAACACCGAGTCCAATAATAGCTATCATACGTTTTGATTCCTTTCGGGGATAAGAGTATTGCCCCCTTTACACGTTCGCTTTATCGCTGGGTGCTACAGTGGTTTGTTTCCTACTTGTATAGACACTCAGTAATTGCCTGAAAACATCTGTTTAAAAAAAAACCCAATGGAGAACCTTCGTGAAAAAAAGAGTCCTTAGGGGGGTTGGGGGGGGCCTCGTGGATGAACGAGTAAATCATTATTAGAATGACCTGTGTGCTACGCAAAGGCTTTACTCCATTTTTATGTTTTCTTTTGTTCCCCACAGATGTTGATGAGTGCCAGAGTAATCCTTGCACAAATTCTGGCACCTGTCAAAACATGGTAAATAAATTCTCCTGCCATTGTACCAGTGGGTGGACCGGTGTCTACTGTGATGAAGGTGAGTGGAACATTTTAATTACATCAATGTTTGTGGGGTAAATGCTTCTGAGCATGTGGATGTAGTTTATGAACTTATAAAGGAAACAACATACTTATAGAGGCATCAATATGCTTGGTGACATTACTACTACATATTCAACGTGATGTCAGTTTGGGGCAAAACATGCTTACATGTACGCTATGTTAATTTCGTATAACACCATTTAGCAGAAATGTTGTAATCAAAATGTATTTTTGTAAAAAAAAGTTAACCGGACGTTTTACATCGATGGGTATATTTCCATGACCTTTCGTGTCTGTGTGTTTTTTGCAGATGTAAATGAATGTGCCTCTAGACCATGCTCCCATGGAGGAACCTGTGTCAACACACCGGGCTCCTTCTCTTGCAGCTGTGCACCCGGTTGGAGTGGGACCCTCTGTACACTGCGTAAGCTGATACACATGCGTTGGCTAGTTTTGATAAATTACTCGCAAAATCACTGAATTGGGAATAACCAGATAGCAACGTTGGCCCCTACTGGCAGATGAAAGCCCACATGCAGGCCAGTGTTGCGTACGATGAGTACCGCACAGGGACAGCTGCCACTGGGGAGCATCTTTAGCCGGACTGCAGCAGGGTATCAAAATGGTTGAGATGAGATACGATGGAGAGCACTTTGAGTGCCCTATAAATGCAAATCCTTAAACGCATTCAAAAGTCGGTGAATACTAACAAACATTGCTCTTTTTATTATTATTACACGCTTTTATTTAACTCACTCCGTCTGTTGTCATAACCTCAAAAAATATTCTAACTTAATTTTACCCACTTCCCAATGTGCTATCGACTGCAAACTTGGTGTACTTATGTCATACTGATGACAAGCCTATATACTATCATTACAATTTAAATATATATTAAAACATTTTACACGTTTTTTTATTTAACTCACTCTGTCTGTTGTATCCTCAAATCTTGTAACTCAATTTCAACCGTCTTCCCAATGTCGTATCTACTGCAAACTTGGTATAGGCATGTAATACTGATGACAATACTATATTCTATCATTGAAAATTAAAAAGATATATTTTTAAACAATCTTTTTCACGGCTCTAATTGTCCACGCTCAACTCACGTTGCCTGTAAATCACCACGGTCCCTTACGTCACGGCAAGCCTCGGGGAGCCACGCCGAGGGGCGGGGGATGTGGAAGGAGGGGAGGGGCGATGGGGGAAGGGGGCAGGGGGAGGGGCAGCTCGGACAGTACATTTCATTAAAGCGTGTTTTTAAAAAAAGTATTTTTTTATATTTTACTTATTTGTGTACACGGTTCACGATAGCAAAAACACATTTTCTATATGGGAAATGTAGATGTAGCACCAATGTCTGCACATTGATGCTTTAACACCTATAAACTTCACAAATAAAACGTATATATTAAATACAATTCTACAACCTCACACTGCCTATTTAGATCTTTTTTTTCAGCAGACATAAAATCTGGAGTGTGCAATGTGGCCCTGTGCCATCGTGCAGACTGCACAAGTTGTGTGTTTACACTGCCCTTTGCTTCCCTTAGTTGTGGATGAATGTGCTTCCAACCCGTGCATCCACGGCACCTGTGTGGATCAGGTCAACGCCTTCTTCTGCAGATGTGACGAGGGGTGGTCAGGCGACACATGCACTACGAGTGAGTCCTGATCATGCTCGTCTTTACTGAAAAACGTTTTAGATCGAACACATCTCAGATTGCCTCATATACATATGGAGCATAACAAAAAAAGTGTATTTAGCCCAGGACGTGTGCTTCGTTCATAACAACCTCCCAAACACCGCCCTGTGGTGTGAGCAGGCAGATGCACTACTATGATAACTGAATGGCAACCCAGGAATAGGTAGTTTACTTCTACCCGTTACTATTGATTGTCGTGCCACTTGAATGCCTTTAAGCTGAAGTTTAACGGGCACATTTTCAGCTTTTAGAACTTTCTGGCCTTTCCAACATAAAGTTGTTGAATGCTTATACATGAACGTGAAGAGTGTGTTTTGGTGCATATGTGTTCAGATAATGAACATGATGAAGCACTTCAAAACGCATTTTACATAATGTACTGTACTATATTTTCAAATGAAACGCATGTGCAAAATAGTAGAGCGCATAAATAAACTGAACTCAACTGATAAATAAGTCCTGGCATTGAGAGAGAAGTAAATATGTCTAAAGGTATGTTAAGTGAATGTTGTGTGTGAATTTGCGTATGAAAGTGGTTCTATCAAAATAATCGTTTGCTGCGCAATGCAGTTAAAAAGTGTATTAACCTTTTGTGTGTATAACCGCTGCGTTGTGATGTTGTTTAGACATCGACGACTGCGTGAATGCACAGTGCCAAAATGGTGCAACCTGCATTGACATTCTGAAGGGATACAACTGTTCCTGTGTGCTGGGATACAAAGGGCAATACTGCCAATACAGTAAGACTCATTTCCCACGTTCTTTGTATTAAGTCAAATGTAAGAGTTTTCAACTCAGATGAGCATTAGGCTTTGTTTATATCATACTATTTCATAGCTTTTGTGATTGTGCGGTATACCTCTGTTGTATTTTCCAGTTGTACTTTGTATTGCTTGGCATGATGTCCAACGTGTATTCAGTTCTCTTAAGAAGCTGCTAGCATGTATAGCGAAACGTCGGACACATCATGCCATGGTGAAGAACATGCAGTGCCAACCAAGAAGACACGCCGTAGAATTGTGGGATCTCTTTTGGTTACGCTGAGCCAGTGGTAGAATTTCCACATTCATATGAAGGAGCCCATGTTTAGGTTGACCGCTGTTGTTGAGGAATGTCGAGAAAAGTCGATCCCTGACTGGGATTAGAACTCATAAGTATTCGAATGTATTGTAAATTATTACTTTTGAGTGACTTTAGTTTAGGGGTTAGAATTCTGGACTAAAAATCCTCACACATGGGTATGATTTCCAATTAAAATGAATGCCAATGAAAATAATCTTGTAACATTGATCTGATTTCTCATTCCAAAATCAATGTGGGTTATTTGGAATTTGACCATAGTTGTCATCCTACAAAATACAATGTGGGCCATTATTTTCTAGTTTTTATTTATTTATTTCTATCAGAATCAAATGTGCCAGCAAGAGTGTGAATTTGATGAATCACATACTCCTCTTCGTGATTATGTCTGCTCTGCCTTCTTAACATTGTATTCCAAACCTATTCTTCTTTCGTAAGGCAGGAGGAAACATCAACAGTTTTGAAACATGTGAAAGTTGAATGCTAAGTTCTTTTAACAAATACAGGGAGGCGGTAGACACTGTATGGATTGCAGTGACACCACTCGGGTGTGCATGCATGGTGCATTCGTCGGTGATGTGATTCTAAACTTAGCAGGTTACTTACTCTATCCTGCCATGACATTTGTATTATGTTCTGCGTGAGTCCTTATGTAATACTTTTTTGTCCCTCTCAACGTCTTGTGTTTCATTTGCAATGTAGATTAATGGAGCTGTCAATAGTGTAAATCTTGGACTGTTAAAGTGACATTTACATGAATGATGTTTGTGATTTCTCAATAGATATCGATGACTGCATTGGAAATAAGTGTCAGCACAATAGCACATGTCTGGATGATGTCAATAGTTACATGTGCCTTTGTCCGCGTGGATGGACTGGTCTTCGCTGTGAAACTGGTAAACATACATATACCATGCTACTTATAACAATTGACGTATAACTACTTATAATACTTATATACTTATAACAATTGAACATCGCCCATTTACTCGTTAAGCCATACATGGTACTGCATACATAGTTTGAACCGGTGGTCCAGTGGTTGGGGCACTGCACTATGAACCCCGTGACCTGAATTTTATATCTGAACCAGTCCTGGGCCTCGCCTTCATCAGATTGTAAATTGCTGTGTGGTGAAGTATGGTCAAACTACCCCCATTACCAAGACAGTGTGGGGAGGCCTTCATCCTGTCCATGGATTGAAGAAACGGCTGTAAATGTGTATATATTTTTTACCACATATCTTACTTTTTTTTTAAACTAAACCTGCGTCTTTTGGGAGGCTCTTCTACCAGCAGTGTTGTAAGCAAGCAACTACAGAGCTGCACCTTTCAAATCTCTTAATATTACTTCGGTTTTAGTTGTTATAGTGAAGTTTGAGTAATGCTTGTTTTTCTCATGCCGAGAAGAACATAACATGTTTATGTTTTAAGTTTGCTGACCTTCATGAAAATAGAGTCTAAAATGTGATTTTTAAAGGATGCAATCTCAGCTCAGTACTCGCAGCATGTTTACATATATGTAACTGTGGCCGTGTGCACATTGTATGTTTTGTTCAGACATTGATGAGTGCAATGCTCGACCTCCCTGCCACGGAACGCTTGGGCTCTGTACCAACACGCCTGGCTCATACGCTTGCTCGTGCAAGCCTGGCTATGAGGGAGATGGCATTCAGTGCTTCGGTATGCAAACTCTGCTTTTGAGATTAATAAAACACACGATCATTCAATTTCAATAAAGTTATCACGTGGGTAATTATGCTAATTGCTTTGGTTTGACAGCAAACTGAAATCTTAATAAGCAAGCATATTTTTGACAATTGTATATTGACGTTTCGCTGAAGATTACATCCAGCATCCGCAGTTGTAAACATATACATATAATACACATTTAATTTCCATTGAACATTTACAAATTCAATATCATGTATATGTCAAACAAATTCAATATAGAGATACTCATCCGATACTGATTGGATAAATACCTGACAATGCTGACTTCTGCAACCACGTATCGTGACCTTTCCAAATCATGAACTAGGGTTTAATGGTTTCTGAAAAATATAATCACTTTCCATTGACACCTTCATCTAAGCAAGAACTTTTCTATTACCCAAAAGTCAGTTTTAATGTGTAACAATTATATTCACTGTGAGAGTCTTTCTTTAATAGTGTAATTTATTTATTTTAACAGAGAAGAGGCTCTTCGATTATGGGAGAAATGTGTACGACCAAAGTCCGTATATTTGGGACACAGACTACGTGTCTCCGTTCTTCTCACCACCGTACGGATTTCCATTCGGAACCAGGTTCTACCAACAATTGTATGTAAGTAATTTCAACTGATGCTGTTACAAGATATTGTACAATATATATGTCAACGTCTGAAAATGAAATATCTTTTAAGAGTTTCATTGCTAAAGACGTCATATTGACCGGAATATGTTGAAGTTATTGAAATACTTTTGTGCTGTTTTGTTGCCCCAGCATTGAGAACATAATTATTGACACTCGCATATGTAAAAGAATTATTAAAGGAAGGTGCAACTCCTAAATAAATAAATGCATATCTGAAAATGGCTTTTCCCCTTTTTTGTGGCAACAAAACAGGGGTTAGGATGTTAAAACATCAAACTGAAACCTTTTACAAGGAATCATAACACCGTTTTGAGACTAGGCTCAAAAGACAGCTGTCTCTGGTGTGGACCAGTTTCAAAGACAATTGCATATATTATCAGAGTATGTTTTTTTGTTTGCATTCTGACCACAAGTATTGTGGTTAATGCAGTCATGATTCCTTGTAAAAGGTTTCAGTTTGGTAGTTTAACATCTTATCACCTGTTTTGTTGCCAGAAAAAGGGGAAAACCTATTCTCATATCTTGGTACATATCTCTTACAGATTTGTACCTAGGCTGTGTGTATCGGGCTTTCCAACACAAGTTTTATCAGTGTGAAAACACTTCTACCAGAGCTTTCTCTAACCATGCGAATGCAATGTGACTGCCATACATTAAAATAAAAATGGCAGAATGTAGTTGCATTTATATGAAAATGTCTAATAGAGCAAGAGCTAGGTGTTCGCAGCCAATATGATTCGTAATATAATTTTGGGTTAGGCATTGCAAATGTTATGGATTCACTCTTCAACACACCGGTGGGCTAAAAAGTAGTGAACTATTTGTCTTTTGTCAACGTGACACATGTTTTACTGATTGGCCCTGTCGGGTGGTGGAGAGTTGTGACACATTTATAAATAATGCGTCTAACCCAAAAATCTTTATTATGAATAATACTAGTCACGAAAGCCTACGTGTTAAACTCACATTATGATCTGATTAAATCTGTGTCGATAAACCCTCATTACCTAAAATAACCACACTACCTTACATTGTCACGTGTACAAGTATTATTATTGTTTCAGGTCAACCAGTAAGTTGAAGAACAATTCTCAAAGACCAAATTTAGCAATTAGATACACAACGTTTCGCTTGAAACTGCGTCAAACACCTTCAGGAAAATCTAGGAAATCGGGGAATCTGATTAGCCAAAGTTGGTTGTGAGTTCCGTTCTTTTTAGCACGTTTGTTTGGCTTTATTGGGCGGTGGAGGGTCTGTTGATACGATTTTCGTCAGATAATGATGTGGCCTTACAGAAAAATCTGTTGTCCATACAACTCTATTGATGTATGTATGTTGAACTTCTTTCGCACCGTATGTAGCCAACCGTGCTAATCAGAGGTGCGGGGGAAGGACAACAAATTAAAGACAAAAGCAGTTTTTTATATAGTTGATACAAGTATATCAAATGTACAGCATTCACACTTTAGTGATGACACTGTAATATCCGACAATACACTTTTAAATTGTATTTTATATTAAATAGTATGTTGTTGGACCATCCAGTTAGATATGATATAGAGGTTAGCTATGTAGCCGTGAAGTAATACGGGCTTTGAATTTCAATTATTTCATGGATACGTTTCATACACTTTAAAGATGTGGGAAATCATTTGTATAATCATTAAGGAGCTTTTAATTGGGCATGGTACGTCCACCATTTAGAATGAAAAATCAATAATTCGTACAATTATCTTGATGAAGGAGAAATTCTCATAAAGCATTACGGTGTTGGATGTACACACATACAGGAACTGATTTTAAAACTGATTTTAATCCATGCTAAGATGGCGATGGTGCATGCAGTTTCACATAAACCAAAAACCGTTGACTTGTTCAATAAATAAATAAACTTTTATAAAGCTATAGATAATTGTCTTCAATATTACACTCACTATGTCGAAGTTGTTTTTTTTATTTGTGAGGTTGCCTAATTTGTGCAATTATTCATATTGCCTCATTTATGTAATGCCCAGTTCTTTGTATGTTGTCTTATTTGAATTGTGCAAAAGTGGCACTCGTGCATTTGTTTTCTGTCATTTAAGATGCTCAGATATTTTAATTGATGCACGTTTGTGCGTGTGGTATCCAGTTCACAGACAACGGGTTGATTGTGTTCAAAGAAAACGAAGACCAATCAAAGTTTGCTTATCCCAATCCAACTAGAAATTCATGGTGGTACTATCCTCCCATGATTGCAGTTTTCTGGGACGATTGTGACTTCTCATCTGGCATTGGAAAAATATATTACCAGGTATGTGTTCTGTACGCTGAAGAGTGTAACAACCATCGGCACCTCTGTATCCAGTTGCTGTTATTGTTGTTAGCCTGTAACTACCCGCTCCTGGGCAAAGGTCTGCCTCATTTTCTTCCATTCCTTCCTTTCCTCGGTTGTTAAGTAGTGAGCCTCCAAACTCTTTTATTTCGTCTCGCCATCTCTTTCACCATCTTTCTTTTTCTTCGATTGCCTTCTCTTCAGTATGCACTATGTAGTTAATTTCCTCTATCACTCATCAATTGTTGTCATGATGTGTCCTGCCCATTTCCACTTGATTTATTTTTCCGTGCATTAAATATATATAGCTTTCACGTGAATGCACACATTTGCAAACCTAACATAAATGTATTGCTGGAGTAAATGTTGGGCTTCGTCTCTCCACCTCAAACAACATTGCTTCCATTTTGCAGGAGTATGACTTTACTGTGGGCAACCCGAGCCAAGATGCAAAACAGCTCCGTGACAAGGTGCAGGCCCAGGTCCGAGCCAACTTCAGCTCTACGTCGGATATACAAAACTATGTGCCCACCTGGATGTTAAAGATCACCTGGGAGGAAGCTCCTGCTGTGCCAGCAAGCAACAATGGCAGATATGTAAGAATATTTAGCTAATCAATTCCAGGTCATACTTGAATGTCACTTCATAATTTTTTTTTACATTTTTATTGCATTTTTCAATAAATGGTTTGTGTGTGTGCATGTGTAGGTATTAAGTATACAAAACAAATCTCGCAAATAATGATTTTATTTCATCAAATGTTGCTTGATTTTTGGGGCATCAAAAAAAATCTATCTAATCTAATAACAATAAGTATTTGATATATGTTAGTCAATCATAACTGTATTTATTTAATTTTAATGGTATTTGATAATCACACAAAAAATCACAGTTATGTAATTTCATTATTTTATTTTATTTGTTTTGGTTTGGCACATTATCTTGTCCCGGCAATATGTTACTGCAGCAGACATAAGAAAAACTTGAAATGTCCAAGTGACCTGGACCCGAGTGGGTTCCGGGTCTATCGGGTGTGAGGCACGATCCATCACATACTCAGGCACATGCCGTCACACCATACTAAGCCATGCATGCCACGCAAGGCCTCCCCACACCATGCTGGTCGGTTTGAGTTTGTGAGGTTGGTGGTGGAGGGGGGGACAAGACTGGTTCAGATATTTCTCGTAACTGTTGTTAGTCATGGGTGGGGATTGAATGCACTTTGCCAGGTCTTGAGTGAAGCACACTCACCAACGTCTCTCCCCTTACCGCGGTGAAGCATTGAATAGTTTCGATTTAAAGCTTTCGTGACTGCAGGGATTCATCTTCTTGGTTCTTTTGGTAAAGGCACGTAGAAGGGAAATAATAAAATAATAAAAATAAAACAATAAAATAATTCTCACGACGTTTCGGCTACAACGCAAGCAGCCGTCCGCAGGTGAAGAATGAAACACCACCAGGCTTGGAGCGTATAATTAAGCTGGGTTGGAGGGGGAAGAAGAGCGCCTTGACAAAATAATTTGCATATCAAGAGGAATCTAGCATATTTATGGGAAATGCGTAGGAGGTGGGCGGGGGGTTTTAAAGTCATATGCCCATTTATTAGTCATATTATGCCCATGCATTATGCAGGATTAGCAGCATCAAAGGGAGGGGATAGGGAAGGAATGTTAATAGTATGAAGCTGCAGTTACTAAACCACCACGTAAACAACTAAAGTATAAACTACATAGTATCATCAGTATACTAAATATACTCTCCAATAAGCTGAGCTACTAACAGCAAGTAATACATTACAATTCTATGTCGCAAAAAATATAATATGCTTCCAGCTAAACTTTTTTCCTTGACATCACACGGGTCTACCCCATACTATTTACTGCCATAGACAAACCCAACATTAAATTATATACTGTATTACTATACACACTCTATACTTTCGACTATAATATTACCCTAAGTATTATTCTACCCACCCTACTGTATACCACACTGCTGTTTATTCACTATACAATTACGATACTGTATATTACCTTATACACCGCATCAAACACTACAATTTTATACTATTTATACAATCTGCTATACACTATGCCATTGACCGTCGCGTGAAAGATACTAAGAGGAAGCAACGAAACATGTCAATGGGAGAGCGGTGGTAGGAGTCCCGCAGCGGAGCAATTAATCCATTACCTGTGGAGAACACAAGATACACAGTCAATGCCAGTGAGTGGACTGCGGTCTGAAAGTCACCGTAAACGTGAACACAATCAGTTAAAATCCGAAATGGTTTATTACGTCCTTCCAATGATTGCTGAGCTAGAATCCATCTTCTCGGTTGAAATTGTCTCTGTGGCAGATCACTGTTACAATTCAGTGGGCTCACATGACATTGATTTCTCCAAGACAGAGGTTCTCTGCAAGCCATCTGGCTACCATGAGAGATTTGTTCATGAGGCGATCCACATATACAAACACAGAGACAATTTCAACCGAGAAGATGGATTCTGGCTCAGCAATCATTGGAAGGACGTAATAAACCATTTCGGATCTTAACTGATTGTGTTCACGTTTACGGTGACTTTCAGACCACAGTCCACTCACTGACATTGACTGTGTATCTTGTGTTCTCCACAGGGAATGGAATATTTGCTCCGCTGCGGGTCTCCATTCACCGCTCTCCCATTGACATGTTTCGTTGCTTCCTCTTAGTATCTTTCACGCGACGGTCAATGGTATAGTGTATAGCAGATTGTATAAATAGTATAAAATTGTAGTGTTTGATGCAGTGTATAAGGTAATATACAGTATCGTAATTGTATAGTGAATATACAGCAGTGTGGTATACAGTAGCGTGGGTAGAATAATACTTAGGGTAATATTATAGTCGAAGGTATAGAGTGTGTATAGTAATACAGTATATAATTTAATGTTGGGCAGTATATAGTACGGGGTAGACCCGTGTGATGTAAAGGAAAAAAGTTTAGCTGCAAGCATATTATATTTTTTGCGACATAGAATTGTAATGTATTACTTACTGTTAGTAGCTCAGCTTATTGGAGAGTATATTTAGTATACTGATGATACTATGTAGTTTATACTTGTTTTTACGTGGTGGTTTAGTAACTGCAGCTACATACTATTAACATTCATTCCCTTTGTTAATGCTACCCCCTATCCCCTCCCTTTGGTGCTGCTAATCCTGCATAATGCATGGGCATAATATGACTTTGAAACCCCCCGCCCACCTCCTACGCATTTCCCATACATATGTAGGGGTGTTAGAGAGAGAGCCCGTTATGCATGGCAGCCTATGGCAAACAAACACAGTGGGCGGGGCTACGTAAGTGCACGGGGAGGTGCCCTCTACGACGTCCGAGCCAGGCACCCTGGGGGGGGCTGGTTCGAATGTTATGATCCCCCGGGGCCCCACCCCTCAGCGAGGGGTTGGGTATAAAAGGGGATGTATCAAAGGGCTCGGGAGTTATGTTAAAGCTAACCAGAGAAGACTGAAGACGTCTTAGATAGAGCCCTGGACTCCCCTGGTTCGCTGTCCTTATCAGGGCCGAACAGGACCGAGCCAGCGGCGTGGTCCCGAAAGCCAGAGCCGGTGCTCTTGTAAGAGCTGGTCTGGGACTCCGGGTACCGGGCCCGACTTACCAGTGTCGGGCCAGATAGCCTCCCCTAGCCCATTAGTGGAGGACTAAGAGGCAGGCTAGGAGTAGCTAGGACGTGTATCCTCAGCTAGTCGGGTGAGGGGGCCGATACCCCCTCCAGTGCTGTATGCCACGAACGTGCTGTGTCAAATAAACCCGTGTGCCTCCAACTCCGGTGTCCAAGAGTCGTGAACGCTACTACATCTGGTGTCGGAAGTGAAACAACAACGAACATGGACACGCGCCGGACGGCTCGAGTCAGGGTACCAGAGGCGGAGGACACCACTGCAGTCGGGGAGCCCGAGACGGCTGAAGATGGCTCCGAGCAACCGGGGCCGGAGGCATCCACACCACAGCAGCAGGAGGAAGGGGAACCATCGACAGAGGGGCTGAGGCAAGGCGCACGCAAAGCTGGCCGAGCTGCTGTACGCCGCTGCCACCATGCTCGACCACATCACACAGCTGGGGGCTGCTGTACCGCCACGGGGCGACGGCAGCCGACGACCACAGCGCCTTCCCGCCATTTCGACGGAGCACCGTTTTGAAAATCCCGCCATCGCCGCAGCTGCTGTTGAGGGCGTGGCCGGCCTGAGCATCGCGTCCAACGGCGGGAGTACAGTACCTGCCGCGTCATCACCAACGGACGGAACGTCACCACGGGTGCGACCGGCGATCCCATCGCTTGTTCGTGCCGACGCAGAGCCGAGTGAGGGGGACGAGGGAGTGCGATCTTCCGCGGCAGCCGCTGCCTTACATCAGCGACTACCTCCACTCAAAGAATTTGTGGGCGAGGAAGGCGACTGGGGCGGCTTCCAGCGGCGCTTCCTCGCTCACCAGGAGATGGCACAGTGGACGGACGCCGAGGCTCTCCGCGCGCTGCCGGCACTCCTCGACAGCGACACCCTCGCCACTCTAACATCGGCACCAAAGGAGAGGCGCTCCACGCTGCAGAAGGCGATGCAGGTGCTGTCTGCAGTATACGGTCCACCGTCGGACTGTCGCCAACTCTTTTACGATCGCCAGCGGGGGGCAAAGGAGTCGCCCCTGGCGTACCGCACAAGCCTCCTGGCACTGGCAAAGGCGGCCTTTCCACGGATGGACAACGAAGGTGTCGACGCCATGGTTACGGAGAAGATACTCCTGCTGGCGGACGACTTAGATATCGTCATCGTCGCACACGACGATGCAGAGATGTGCTCCCTCCTAGCGGCCCGACTCCTCCACGCAAACCTGTGCTCACAACGACGGAAGGCCAGCAAGGCGGCGAGCGGGCGTGCCATCGCTGCAGCCACCCTCCCGGCGGAAGAGGTTTGCGCCATCGAACATCAACGGCAGCATGGTGCGGGAGTACAGGCGGACCGGGGCGGTTCAAGCCATCTCCAACATCCATCGTCGTCGCCAGCGCTCCCGCGCTGTTACAACTGCGGCATCCGGGGCCATGTCGCCTCGGGGTGCCGCTCTCCTCGGCAGCGCGGGACGACACCTCAACGGGACGACGGCCCTCGTCACAAGCTCCACCATCATAATCCGGCAAGTCGCGGCACCCCTCATGTTTGGCCCACGCACACGCCCGTCACGCACTCAAACACCGCAACGAATGGGGGGCCGATATCGCGCACCATCGCACCAACACGCACCACTCTGGGTACTCATATCGAACCCGGCCAGTGGTCCGTGTTGGCCGATCGTGTTGTAGCCGCATCGTCGGGGTCGTCTGCCGTTGTGGGGCACATCGACGGGGTTGAGGTGCGCATCCTGGTCGATACGGGAGCATCGGCGACCATTATTTCGGAGTTAATTTACAATATTCTCCCTGCCCAGAGCCGTCCTTTGATGCCTGTTAACGTGCTATTCTATGCTGCTAACGGGGGCTCACTTGGCATCATCGGACAGATTCGTGCCCAAATTTGTATTGGGGAAATTAAATTGTCTGGGCCGAT